AGTCATAGATTCCAGAGTAGCTGGAATTGATTTCTCAGGGTTACACATATACAATAGTATATCATCTGCAAATAATGAGATTACGTGGTTTCTACCGTCTATATTTATTCCAGATACATCTGGATTAGTCCTGATAATCTCGGCCAAAGGTTCAATAAACAATGTAAACAATAAGGGTGAAAGGGGGCATCCCTGCCTACAGCCCCTATGGATCTCGAAGGGCTCAGACATCAAGCCATTTGTGTTAACTGAGGCTGTTGGGTCTGAATAAAAGCTTTTAACCAGCTTGATAAAGTTTGGGCCCAGACCGAATTTATGTAACACCTGAAAAAGAAACTGCCATTCAACTCGGTCAAAAGCCTTCTCAGCATCAAGGGAAACAATTACTGCTGGCTCTTTGTGAGTATTAAGGTACTGAACAACATTAAGAACACGTCGGATATTGTCTGTGCCATATCTCATTTTTATAAACCCTGCCTGGTCTGGGTTTATTATTTTAGGTAGGATGTTTTCCAATCTCCGAGCCAATACTTTTGCCACAATTTTATAATCAACGTTAAGCAAACTAATAGGTCTAAAGGAGGAACAATCCAGAGGATTTTTACCTTCTTTTAAAAGAAGACTAATAGAGGCGTGTCTCCACGAGGGAGGGATACCATTTCTCAAAATGTCATTAATAGCGGGCATGAATATTGGTTGAATCTCTGGCCAAAATAACTTAAAAAATTCCAATGGAAACCCATCAGGTCCCGGACATTTTCTGTTTGGCATGGATTTAATTGCAGCCCAAACTTCCTCTGGAGTAATAGCAGCATCTAAAAAGGCGCGATCCTCTCCCGAGACAGAAGGTAAAGATATACTGCTCAAATAAGTGGAGATATCATCCGGGTCAGCCATATCTGTATTGTAGAGAGATGTATAAAAATCCCGGAAAGTATTATTAATAATTATGGGGTCATGGGTGACTTCCTCGTTCTGCGTTCCTATTATACTAATTAAGCGACTGTTATCTTGCTTTTTTAATAAATGGGAAAGCATGCGACTGGATTTATTACCAAATTCATAGTGTTTCTGTTTGGTATAAAGTAATAGTTTCTGAACCTGGCGGTTGTAGTCTATGTTAAGCTCAGATTTAACAGCCAATAGTGCCTTAAAGTTTGGCAAAGTTGGTGATTGTTTATGTATTTGTTCCAATCTAATCATCTCTTTTTCGAGACTGTTTCTCTTCTCTGCTAAAACCGCTTTTTGGTGGGAGCAGTAGGAAATAAGGTAACCACGCAGAGTAGCTTTTGCTGCATCCCAGATTATACCAGAAGACACAGGGGACTTTTTGTTATCGAGCCAGAACTGCGTAATATTACTCCGGACAAAGTTACAAAAGGATTCATTATCCAGAAAGGATGTATTGAATTTCCAAGTAAATGTTCTAGGCATACGAAACAATAGATCAACACCTAAAAATACTGGTGCATGATCTGACAAAAGTATGGAGTCTATGTTACAGCTTCGAACTGAATGTAAAAGTGACTTAGGGATAAAGATATAATCCAATCTGGAATAAGTATTATGGGGATGTGAATAGAAAGTATAATCCCTTATTTTAGGATTTAAATGTCGCCAAATATCAATCAAACCAGTGTCCGTACATAAGTTTTTTAGAACAGCTGAAGCTTTTGGGTTTGGCAATTTTGCAGAAGACGACCTATCCAGAGATGCGTTCATTGTACAGTTAAAGTCACCAGCCAGGAAACCAATTTCTTTACAATGGTGGTTAAACAATAAGATCATTTGTGACATAAATTGAGGCGAATCATCATTAGGAGCATATACATTGAGAATAGTTATATATTTTCCATGGATCAAGCCCTTAATTAAAATAAATCTCCCCTCCGGGTCCCTCTCCTCATGTTCCAAAACAAAAGGAAGATTCTTGTGTATAAGAATGGCTGTACCCCTTTTACTTTGTGAATGGGAGGAAAAATATACCTTACCTACCCAGTCCCTTTTAAGTTTCAAATGTTCTGTAGCAGATAACCTGGTTTCCTGTAATAGTGCAATATCAAGTTTATTTTTTTTCAAATAAGTCAAAACTTTTTTCCTTTTGATCACATGACCCAGTCCCTGTACATTCCAGGTAACAATCTTAAGAGAACCAGACATACAAACTGTAAGGCATAAAACAAATTAGACACCAGGTGTCATATTTGAATAGACTAGTCTGTCCATAGGCATTTATGTATGTATAAAAAAAAGAAAAGACACATTTAGGCTCCTGACGTTTAACACACAAAAAAGAAGAAAACAATAAAAAAATAAAGTGCATAATCTGCAAACAGCAGCGTTCACCCTCCCGAATCCTGTCCCCAAACGACAGAAAAGAAAACCCCAAAAAGATGTCACTGTTATTTCCAAGCAACATGCAACTCCTAATTTTTACAGTTCGATCACAGCAACAACCGGACGCTCAAAACGCCACCATCCGTGGTCCAGGCCAAAATAATGAGCCATGCTGAGAAGTGTCCCAACGTAGTAAGTTAAGAAAGAAAGAAAAAAAAGAAAAATAATGTTCTTTGGGTCCCAGCATGTATATAAATCAGATATTAAGGGCCAATCAGATATTAAGGACGTACTCAGTTCAGCTCTTGTCCTGATATCAACTTACATCATGACCCACTATAGAAAGATCAGGACAAGGAGCTTCAAGCTAAATTAATGAAGGGTAGATAGCCATTATGGTAGGTGGAACAATAGAGAACTCTATTACAGCAGGCTTAAAAAGGAGGCAGTGCAAAGGTGTGGAGAAGTGGAATTAAAAATTAAACCTCTGACATCTGCAGCAGGAAGCCATATGTGGGAATTGTGCCAGAGAATGTGATGTGCTCTGCATTGTTTGTATGCTGTAAATATTTTCATCAACCTTATTTTAAATCATGTAAATAGATTTAAAAACTGTTGCTGCCATAGCTCTATATGACTTTTGCTATCTAGTTTGTGTGTTCTCGATTATTTGATTTCATATTTGTTGATATTCAGTTACTATAAATGTTCTGGTGCTTTTAAAATTAGTACTTGGTAAATTTTAAAGCAATTTATTGAGCATTTACAATGAATTCGTCTTGGTTTAAAAAAGAACGTCCATTGCCTAAACTTGGACGCTTTTGCAAGTTTAGGTGTTTTGCTTTAGATCAAAGTGCTTACAAATGCCTCTGATATGTGAATGAGCTATTTTTTTGTTTTTCCAATGCTGATGTTCTGTAAAATTGCAGATGCAATCCATAGAGTGACTCAGCTTTATCTGCTTTAATGAGTGGGAAAAAAGAAGTTCAACATGTTTTAAGCTAGAAATTCACAATGTGATATTGTCAGATCATCTGACTAATAATCCTACTTTTAAATATTCTGAGTGGTAGACAGAGGTAGAATGAATATAATGCGTTCTTTAGGTTTTTGTTAAAAACTGTAGATACCAGAATATAAACTGGATTATTTCTTTGCCCGCAGGTTTTGACATTTTAAGTTAATTTAGGTATTATCCTCTTGTGCCGCAGCTCAGTAATAATACAGACTGATTTAATCGAGTACTGATGATCAAAGCACTCTCAGATTTACATAAGAAATAAATATACTGCCTTTTTATGAAATCTCAATGGAGTTTAATGTTAGATATTTTAGTTTTTCATAGTTTAATGCTGACAGCTCTGCAGCAGGAAAAATCATGGCTTGGATGCAGGTTTTTCCTCCTAGACAGATACTGGATCTCATGCTGTAAAAGCTCAGATTTCCACTACCCTTGATATGAATCTACAGTTTGCATGTAAACCAAGTGTCCCTGATGCTCAAAATGTGTGTGAATGCACCATTATATTCATGCAAACATAGTGATGCTGATCAGCTAAAATGATAGCCACGGACTGAAGTGGGACCACCGGTGATGACCACCATCAGAAGGCAAAACAGGGGAGTTGTATTACCCAAGGACACAACCAAAGTTACAGATTTTACTTTTGATTTTTTTCTTATATAATTCTAAATTCAAACTCCCATGGCTCATATTTTTCTGGCTTCCAAACAATTAAAATTAACCTTTGTTGTTTTACTTTAGGAATAGAAATTGGCCAAAGAAAACATGATGAAACACAGATGTTTCATGCATAACATTGTTCTCTGTGAAATTAGTCAAAATAAGTCAGTGCAAAATTTTAAAGAAGCAAGTACTTTTTCAATAACCTTCTAAACAATATTTCTGCATAGTGCAGAAGAAGCCTGCAGTTTTCATTTTACAGTGACAATTTACTTGAAGATTCTCTTTTATGATAGCTTTTCAGTGTATAATTTAGTCTGGGGGCCCTTCATAGAGGTACTTACTCTTTAGTTGACGTCCTCATTTCTCAAACACCTGTTGTTATGTTGATCTGACAAATTCTGTGAATTCTGCTTTGTTGTATTGTAAAGTCCTGTCTATTAGTCATTTTAAAAATCTCAGCTCCAGGTCAGCAGGTGAGTATGATCCCGTAGTCTGTGAAAGTTGTGTAGCGTTTTCCTAGCACTGTAAACATTTTTCTGAATGTAAAAAATCATGGAAGCTGTACAAAAAATGTCCAAACACTTTAATTAGTTTGGAATTATACTGTCCTTTGCGAATCCTTGCTACTCGTACAGATTTTCTGGAATTTGGTTCTTCACAGGGTTACCTGATATAAAGGAGCTATTAGCATTTTAATAAAATCTCTATATGTATTGCAATTTGACTATTTGACTCTTAGACTATTTGAGCTAACAAGTTCTTGTCATGCTACAGTAACAGTAATGTTTACTATAAAAATGTACATACAGTAATCTGAATATTAAGTCAATGATGGTTGGATCACACAGTTTATTTAATTATTATTCACATTAAGGACTTTTACATTAAATCTAATTTATATGCCTTTGAATATTTCACATTTCTTCCAATTTGAGTTTAATCAGTTTTCTTACCTCCTGTGTTTTCATTTTTTAAGGGATGGCCCTGATACTTCAAGCCCTCAGCTGGGAGTCTTCAGTGGCAACACAGCTCTTGAGTCAGCCTATAGTTCTAGCTCAAAGGTCCTGATCCGTTTTCACTCTGATTTCTCCACTGGAGGATTCTTCATCCTTAACTTTCATGGTAACTCAATACTTCAAAATGTTAATATGAGGCTTTAATATTATGTTTTGATCTACATTATTTCCCTGTCTGCCTAACTCTCTACCCATCTGTAGAAGCGCTGAACTAGATAAAGCTTATTGATTTGCTTGATAGTCCCTTGGCAGTACATTTATTGTTACAGTTTAAAAGTCAGTTTTAAAATCATGTAGATTCTGTGCACATAGTGGACACTCTTTTAATTAAACAATGCCTTTAAGTTTTAAGAAAACACTGCAAACTCTCGTCACCTGTCTTCAATTAAGATGATGTTTTGCAGCTTCTATGTCAGCTTGTACAGGTAAAAACACATATGTTGTTTCTCTTTTGTTGGGAAAATTTCAAATTAGGAACTTTTCTTTCAATAGTTACCGACATATGGGTACAATGAGTTAAATGAGCAAATTGTCCTTGTGTAAATCCAAACCCCTTATCTGACTGTTGTGCATTTCCCTGCTATTTTGTATAACTTTATATTCAGTCATACCTGATTTACTTTTTTTCCCCTCCTTCTATTTTCAGCCTACCGACTGAAGAAATGCCCACCTCCTCCCATTGTGGAGAACGCAGACATTATCTATGAGGATGAAGACTTTCACATAGGTAGTGGTCCTGAATAATGTTTCTTTTTAATATCATGTTAGATTAACTTACATTTCTCTGAGAAAACCATGTCGTGTAAAACATATATTAAAAAAATACTTTAGATTTTTGTTAATGAAATTGTGCTTTACAATTTTCAAATTAAACACTATAAAAAAAAAAAAATATATATATATATATTATAATTCAAGTCAAATATTTTACACATCAAGCTTTTGAATTGCAGTTCTGAAGATTACTATAGTACTTTATAAACAGGGAGCACAATCTAGAAAATAAGTGTTTGACTCATTTAAGGAAATGCAAGGGCAATAACATTGTTATCATTGCAAGTTCCTCATTTAAATTTGGATATTCAAAAGGGAAAACTCTCCTTAATATACAATTTTTGTTTTTCAATTCTACAACAGAAAGACAAAATCCAGTTGGCCGCTGAAAGGGAAACATGATTGTAAATTTCAGGATCTGATTATCTAAACCAGACTTCTTCAACACTTATCCTCAAAGCCAAGAGCCCTGCAACTTTTAGTTGTTTCCCTATCTCTACACACTCGACTTAAACAGCTTGGTAATTAACAGGCCGCTGTAGCCCTTGGAGCCTGCTGAGGAGAAAATGCAATGATTTGATTCAGGTGCACTGAAGCAGATACTCAGCTTAAACATGCAGGACAGTGGACCCTGAGCACCATGGTCGAAAGCCTCTGATCTAGACCATCCTCCTATTTTTCTTACCAAATTGTTTATAGATATTCAGCAAGAAATACTTTTATGGGTGTTATAAACATTAAATTAATGACATAATTCAGTGTAAACCAGATGTCAATTTTGATCAGCTCCATGACAAAAGTTAATTGGGCTAAACAGTGTTGCTAAGCCACCAAACAAAATTATGAAATCAAAGAAAAATCTTGTTCCAAACAGCTTTAAAGCTCGAAACATCTCCTTCACTACCTTTTGATTGAATAAACCCTTCAGATGACTTATGGATTGTTTTCAACAACAAAAACTGATGTCTAGTTGGGTTTTTTTAACCAATTTTGGAGTGGCTACTGTATGTCCTGAATGACACATTAGCAACTTTAATTATTTGATAAAAATTAAAGCTGATGAAGTTATCTTTTATTCCAAAGGCCAAATTTTTACTTTTTCTAGAGGCACCCAAAGCAGGTTTGCCTTTATGTCCTACTTATACTGAAATAATTCATGACCGCATGATAGCAGTTTATCATGGGGCTAACAGTCAAACCAGCGGTTTGCTTAGAACCAGAGCTTTATGCTAAGGGAGTAAGCCCATACAGAGCCTGGGGTATCACTAACAGTACTGAAAACCATTACATCAGCAATTACTTTGGCGAGGACTTTTTCTGGACCTGGATAAACGTGTTTCAACAAAATTGTGCATAACTTTAGGTTTGATACCGTTGCCTGCAAATCACACAGCGCTAAGAGCGGGCACTGGGTTTGCTTTGATCTTATACACTTATACATTTTTAAGTCAGCTCAGGGCCAAAATAAGATTTTTTGTTTGTTTTGTTCAAACAAAGTTTTGAGCCTTGTTTCTCATTCTATCCTGTGTTCTAAAGTATTCTTAGTGCAAAAGTAAATGTACTGACAGGGTGTTCGATGGTATGCCTATGAAATGGCATTCTTGAAGTTGAGAAGTATTATCAATTAGAGATAAAATAGAAGTAGGTATTGATCAACTTAATTTTTTAAAAGTCTTTGGAAAAGGTAAGCACATAAAATTAACATATACAGCCTTCATTTGAGGCTATAATTTATTCAGTTTAAGAAAATGTCAAGTTGTGTTTTTGATTAATCAAACAAAAATCAAAAGATTTTTTAAAGCATTTATAAATACCGTATTGGAACTCTGTCCTTTGGGGGGAAATATAGACATGGTGTACAAAGTATTAACCTGTTATTAATTATTATTTTGTTTTCATGCAAAGTAAAGTCAGATTTTGTTGATATTTTGGATTGTGTTGCTGTCTTTTGTCTGCAAGAGCTTAGCTGGGTAGGATGGTTCAGAAAGATAAACCTAGACTACCTTAAGCTTTATTAGCCTTTTACTATTTTGATATTTTGTACTGTATTATTCTGACTTGGAGTCTTTTGTACAATCTTCTTTTAGGGGATATTGTGAAGTATCACTGCTTACCTGGATACACATTGGTTGGAAAAGCAGAGCTAATGTGTAAACTTAATTCTCACTTGCTTTTTGAGGCCCCGCCCCCAAAATGTCAAGGTAAGATATCATATGAATAAAACTGCATAAGTATGTCAAACATGGAGCATACTGGCATGTTTATATTATCCTAATCATCACAAGAAACAAAAAGTTTCATTTCTCACAGAGTTTTTTCTGAGAAAACTCTGTCAGAAATTTCTCTGAATTCTTAATCATGTGCCTATAAAAAAATAATTAGCTAAAATAGCCATCCATTTGAGATAAAAGATATGAGATTTGAGATATTTTTTTATGTCCTGTTTTGCTAATATAGCTCTAGGAATAGATGTCCCAGAGGTAGATGATAGCCCAACAGATTTGCTTTCACAAGCAGACCATTTTTGTTGTTCCGCTTAGTACTTGCATATAAAAATTCTTCAGTGTGTAAAATAGTATACAATGGAAACGGAAAAGGGAGGTGAGAAAGAAAGAGGGGATAATAACTATGGGGAGACAAAGAGATGGGGACAGGAAAATGTACAGGAAAAGAGAGCAAATAAAACATGTTTTACACATTTATTTTTCTAATCTCATGGACACTGGACATTATGCACTAGTGATTTGATTAATTTTGCAAAAGGGTGAGACCTTTTATAGTATATAAAAGCATAAAAAAAGAATATTATCACATGATCAGGTCCGACAAACAAAGTGTGGTGACTTGGTAAATCTCTGCAATCTTTATATGAAAGATATTATTAGATGAAAGATTTTTATTAGAGTTTTTCGGATAATTCAGTTTTCGCCTCCATAGCTGAGTGTTGAAGCGATCAATCTGCATCACATTTAATTAATAGAGTATTGTTTTCTTTACTATAAAAACAGAGGCAAAGCACATTATTTTATGTAAAGACATTAAAATAACAAACAAATAAGAAAATAAGTTGTCCCCTAAACTAATGTTTTTGTGTGTGTGTGTGTGTGTGTGTAAGTCCTTTGCAGTTGCTAAAAGCTAAAAACTGAGGATATTAACTGAAGAAACATAGCCATCAGATTTTTTGATGAGTTCAAAAACATATTCAAACAAGGTATCCTTTAATGACAAACCGTACGAGTGAAAGGTTAAAAAAGATATTTTCTAACCTGATGTGAGAAAGAATCTCACAGTAATTGTAAATGTCTGTTAAATGTTTTTTCTTTGTGTGTGGCTCTGTCCACTGTTATTTCTTTAGCCCTTTCCTGCATTCTCCAGCCTATGGTATTTCATTACAATTGTAACCCCATCCCACCTCATTTTGTTTCAATTTGTTAACCAGCTTTGGTATTTTTTTAACTCTTCAGCTCAGTGCCCAGCAAATGAGGAGCGGTTGTCATCATCAGGAGTCATATTGAGCCCTGGGTTTCCTGGCAACTATCCCAACAGCCAGACTTGCTCTTGGCTCCTTCGGATGCTTCCAGGTAACACATTTGATGGTATTCTCTTTTCTGCAGAGGATTGGGTCATCAGTGTAATCTAGAATTGTGTTACCGTAGCAACCCTTCTTTTACAAACATTTAAAGGTCATCATGTTTTTTAATAAGCATTATTAAGTACTAAAAAAGCTATCTGCTGTACTTTAAACAGGTTTTAGGATAGTCAGTGAATAAGGCTTTTTATAATTATTATTTATTGTTTTCTATTTATTATTATATTTTTTTTTACTTATTTCTACACTCTCTGCTTTTAAATATAAAAGATATTAGGACTGATTAAGTAAAGGCCATGCCCACAATGCCAGAGCTGGCTATGTCATGGACTTTTAAAAAAATACCATATTGAGAAGCTTTTTTCCTACACGTATCAAGGCAGCTGTACCCCAAAGAAAAGATATCTGGTGATGAAACTCTGACTCCCAGATTGACTTGACTAAATCAGGGTTACATCTGGCATTACAGTAGATAGGTTTTATTAATAAAATATGAAGCTGTGTTTGTATGACTTTAAAGCCTTTGGTTAATTTGAATGAGTTTGTGAGTGTGAACACACATCTGTGTGTGTTTTAGGTGGGTTGAATAGTGAGAATATGATGGTGGTGAGAAAGGAAAAAATTTAGCAATACTCTGCTCCCTAAAAGTAGCATGTAGCAAGTAGCCTCAGATCCCAGAAGCTACAGCAGCCCCAGGTAGTAAAAAGGAGTAGCCATAAACCAAAGACACAGGCAAGTTGCAGAGAAAATTTAGACCCTAGGCAAGAAAGGCTTAGGGAAAGTTGTAAAAAAATAAACCCCCTACCCAGCACTGCTGTCATGTCCTGTGTCAAATTTAGCCTGCAAACCAGTCACCCTGGGTTGCAGGCAGGGCCCAACTGTCACACACACACATTCACAAGTCACTGTTATTGTGTACTATAGAATATGTAATGCTGAAAGAAATAGGGACTAAGTTGGCAGGAGCACCCAGCCCCCAAACAGGAGTGACTCGAAGGAATTTTAATGTGCTACTTTTATAACTTCAATTACAATTTGTATTTAAACATTACGGTAGTTGTGGTCAGTGTGATCTATGTTTATGTTCCTGCCCACTCTATCACTGCCAAGCTGCCAGGTCATCCAGGCACAATAAGTTGTATTGTGGTGGCTGAATGACACCAGCATGACATCACCACCCCGAGTTTGAAAGGACAGTTACAAAAAAATACAGTTGAGTATCTCACGCACAATAGAAATCAAATAGAACACCTAGAATCAGGTATGTTACCTGTTGTTTGCAAAAAAAATTAAAAAATAACAAAAGGAAATCTTTTTGTCATGGCATGAATCCAAGTTGTGTCATATAGATGTTTTTGACTCTGTGTTTAGGTGTATAACAGTTTTAATGTGTAATTAGCTATTTTATTCATGCAGCCTTATACATCTGTCTTGTTCACTAGGTTACACCATAAACATCTATGTAGAGATGTTCCACAGTGAGAAGCAATTTGATGAACTGGAAATTTTTGATGGTAAGCAAATGTCTTGTAAGCAAATGTATACCATACAGGTAAAATCGTATTCCACACACTAACATAAGGCTCTTTTCATTGTTGTCGATCATTAAGTCACAGGTGAAGATGATAGCTAAAATTTTAACTAACCAAATGTCAGAATTAGCAATGATTTAACTTGCCTGTTAAAAAGAAAAGCAAAGGCTTGAAGGCCTGACAGATGGTCAGCCTTATTTGTTTATGAAGCCTAAGAGGAATCCATGTCTCTGCTCTGTTAGGGAGCTAAGCTCTGACGCTGCCTGAACTCCAGTTTTTAAAAAACATTTGTTTTTGTTTTTTTGTTTTTTTTACTTTTTTCATGTGAAGACGTTTCAGATAAATATTCATTGTGAATTGATAACATCATATTTAACTGTTTGACTTGGATCAGATGTTTTGGCATTGCTCCCACCAGTTTCTCAAAATACTATACACGAGTTTTGGCCCACACAACTCACAAAGGTTTTCAGGCCACTTTGCTCACAGGCAGGTTTTCAGTGCTGCCAACAAATTTACTATTGATATGATTTTAACTGTATTATTGCTTTACCCAAGCAGAAATGTAAGCCAATGTAAACCAAAGCTTGACATATATCAGATAGTTTTACTGGTGACATATTGACGGACAATGTTACCTGAGGCATTTAATAAGGCATTTTGCCTGATCAGCAAAGCTTTAGGCATAGTTGACAGGCATTTTTTTTCTACATCAACACTGTAAAGTTATTTCAAATCAATGTTAAAACCCACACCTTCCACAGAAAGGGGAAATATAATTAAGTACACAAAGTAATGTCGGCTATAAGGGAAGGAATATTTGATGCCTTTTGCAGTTACAAAAGCAGGACAGAGATCAGGGTATTGTATCACCTCTTCACAAAATACAATCTAGTTCCTATTTTGAAGCTTCTTCCCCTCCACATTGCCTGTTTCACATTGGATAACAACTTTCGTACCAGCTTTTACCAACTTCTTAACAGGGTCTTTTCTTTTCTGGAGTTTATTTGCAAACTCCATTAATCTTTCAGACCCAGTGCTTCTTCTTGTCTGATATGATGGTTGCACCCTTGGTGGTTATATTTAATGTAAATATTTTAACAAAGCTTCAACAGACCTTTCAGGCAATAGATAATTTTGACAAACGATGACCCAGACTTGCTTAGAAATGCCAGATAGATCTTATGTAAACTACTGACTTTCTAGAAAGTTGTGCAAAACAGAAAACAAAAGCTAGACCAATTGATAATATTGGCATTTCTTCAAACAATTGTTTAGCGCTCTCTTTCATATAGTGAGGGAAGAAAGGTGGTTTTGTGTCTGTTTTATTGAGTATGTAAATTATCTGGTTTCAATTATATGTTTGCATCATTAAACACAAACAAACTTGTTATGACTGCTGAATCAGGTTTTCTGTCTCTAGATAATGCAAATGAATTTTAAAGAAAACATCTAAACGTTATCTCTCAACGGCTGTTTCTCACCAGGAGAAACAACACAAAACTATTCTAAAAGAACGTCCATACATTATTAGAAATACATGCAAATAAGAAATAATGTTATTTTAAATGCTCTTGTATTTTTTTTAGGATCCTCAGGACAAAGTCCTTTGCTTGTTGCACTGAGTGGTAACCACTCCTCTCAACTGAACTTCACATCTAAAACAAACCAGCTCTATCTACGATGGTCTACTGACCATGCCACCAACAAGAAGGGGTTCAAGATACGATACTCAGGTACCGCCGGCATCTTTCTTAAACATTTCTGATATCAACAGATAATTGAATGAATGATTTTACATTTTTTTGTTCTGCTTTGTTCAGTGCTGCATCTTGAAGCTTTTGTTCAGCTTTTGGCACAAACAGTTGTTCCCTTTTCATTTTATTCATTCAGAGTTTTAGATGACTGATTTAATAACTTGATTAAGATGAAGTATTACTTCTTTTTCATAATAGGGATATTTAATGTAAGTATCAAAGGTGAACCTTGATATCCTTTCAGGATGATTGACAACTCCCTACTCTGCCCTGCCTCAGCTCTCTCAGAATCCGGTCAAATGTATGCACTTCACATAGTTCAAAAGACTGCTAATTTCTCAGACTAGCATGAATAATGATACCTTAATGCCTTTCCTCTCATGAAAATAATGTGCTAATGGTAGAGTGAGCAATGATCATTTAGTAAGCATTCTTTTGAATGCATTACTTTCCTTACATGCGAAACCGAATTAATAGCTGCAATCTATTAATGTGCGCCAGGTTCTCTGAGTGACATTTTAAATTTGTCCATACTTTTTTAAAGGTTGCTGATACTCTCAAATATACAATAAAATCTACAGTTAAAATTAACTTTGAAAAATGAGGAAACAAAGTTTATACATTTTATATATCTATATATATTGTATCTTTCTCTCAATAATACTGCAATAGCCAGATAACAGCTATAGGGACCTCAGAGATTAACGATTAAGACCTTCCACTTCGTATGCATAATTAATGTCCTGGTGTGCTGAGATACATGTATATCATGTAAATGCATGCTAATCGTCTTAAAGGTTGGGCTGATCTGATTCAAATGTAATATTTAATACTTAATTTTCTCTCTTAGCATTTTTTAAATTAAAAACCCCTCACTTTCCCTGTGGTGTTGCTGCAGTGTTTAAATTATGGTGCCCACAATGCTTTAAAATCTTTAATACTTCTTTATTTGCAAATCTCCCTTGAAAAGAGCAGTGGTGTCATCATTCTGTTGGATTCCTGTACATGTATAGGTTTAGGGGGTTAGTTTGGTTTTACCTTGGTGTTGAATAATATAAAAAAAAAAAAAAAACAACAAAAACATTTCCATCAGAAAAAAAAAAAAACAATGCCCCAGCGTTCCCCTGTTCTTTTTGTCTTTGAAAGATCTGTGGTCTTATAGTGTTGTTTATGTTTTATGTTTTAATATTAAAATGGCTGATCATTCAGGAACCAATCATTGCATAGTATGCAATGTAGTCAATATTGTATATAATGACAGATTAAGCTACAAAGATTAAGCTACAAAGCAAGTAAAGAAGGTTACAGATCAAGTTGAAAGTCCAAGTATGTAGAAATCAGGTGTTTACTCACAAGACTGGGCAACTCATTCAAACCATTTAGAAGAGACAGAAAATTATCCCAGTAAGTACAAAGAAGACTAAAGTGGGCTATTGAAATGCATTTGATTGTTCTGTGCTCAAGCAACTTTGCATTTACTGCATTCTGAGAGAACAAACCTATTATTACTCAGAAAAGTTTCAAACATAATTGCTCTATTATGCTGACTGTCAGAGGTTTTGAGTCCTTTTAAGTTGACTCATTTCACTGACATTGTAATGCTTGCCTGGGCACAGATAATTTATTATAGCCTTTCCTCATAATGCCTCTTAACATTAGCAGCTTCTTTTGATAATTATGTTCAGCATTAGGCAGGTAATCAGTCAGGTTCCTGGTAAATTTATTTGGATTTTTTTCCCCCATCCCCATTTATCTTGTTCGCTGTTTATAGCAACCTATTGCAGCATTGATGACCTTCCTATAAACGGTGGTGTGGTCAACCGATCCCGGCTCCATCCAGGTAGCAGACTTCAGTTCTTTTGTAATCGCGGTTACCGCCTGGTAGGTTTAAGCAACACTACCTGCAGGCTCGATTCCAGCGGACTTTACCAGTGGGACACCCCTACACCTGTCTGTCAAGGTAGGAAATCAAAATAACTGTTTTGATTGTTTTTTGTTTTTTTTCTCAATGCAGCCTAGGTAATTCTTTTAGAGTTTTTTTCAGCAGTGGTTTCATTTTTATTTTTGCAGCAATCTCATGTGGAATTCCTCCGACTCCTGGCAACGGCACTTTCCACGCATACCATTATAATGTTGGTAGCCAAGTTACCTATCATTGTAATTATGGCTACCATCTTGACCCTGGTGTTCCAATGACAGCTGTGTGTTTGGAAGATGGCACCTGGAGTAACGCAGGCTCAATTCCTTGGTGCTTGCGTAAGTGATGCTCACCAGTATTCACCTGTGTATAAAAATGCATGATTTTAATCTTTTTTTCCCCATAAGACACTTTTTTTTTTTTTTTTTTACTACAGCTGTGCACTGTCCCAACATTGAAGATGTCCTGTCAGATCACATGACATATCGCCCCCTCACTGGGAGGCTGGGAGAGTTTGGCTACTCTGTGATGCTGGAGTGCTCAGCAGGGTTTTATTTGGGTGTCGGTCATCGAACTCTGCGCTGTCTCGCCAACGGAACCTGGGAGGGATCAGATGACCCAGCTACTTGCAAGAGTAAGTTTCAGTTTTTGCATTAAAAACTATATGACAAACTTTTTAGGAAGAGCAAAACACACCCAGATACTTGAATTTGCAAGATTTTGCATAAAAACTATGGGCCTGATCTTTATAGATTCCAATTAATGGGAGCTGAAATGCACGTGCAATATTTTGTTGGTCCTTGTAATAAGTGAACGTCTGGCAGGTGATCTACAATGAAGGCTGCTCAAATGTTAAACATGTGCAAATCTTGAAATTTAGTTCGGCCTATTACAATGAGGAGATTGCGTGTTCTACTCGCGATCACCAATAAAAAAGATGAGGTCCATGTCATTGGAGGTAATAATAATTTAAAAAAAAATAACAATGATATAATATAAAATAATATTTATAGTTCTATTCTTAAAGCGCTTTGGACAAAAGTAAAAATAAAACATTACTGCTTTATGCACAGTTCTAATTCGAGGGAGAAAATGTTCCATGTTGTGAGGAGATGCGCTCCCCGTATTCTCATTTCTTTGCAGGCTCTTTTTAAAAAATATTTTACAATAACAGTGACAGTCAACTCTAAAATACTTACATGTGTCTCAGAATTTCTCTCCGGCCTGTGGCATTGTTACTATGTGTTTTTTGTGGTACAAATGACTGCAGATATTTTTGCTTGTCAGTTTGGACTCAACTTTCAGAAGTACTAAAAAGATTATAAAACTACAGCCGCAGTTGAGTTTCAGATGTGACAATTTGCTCATGATAAATGTTTACATTTGTATATCCTCCACCCATTCATTTGCACAGTTCAGTCATTACAAAAAAACATGCTGTTTGCTGAATGACAAACACAATTCACTTTGCATCTTCTTTGAAGATCTGCTCTGGACGTGCAAAAATGTATGCACCTGTTTTAAGACTATCTAACCTTCAGAAGATCACGCCCAGAGGATATTTAAGTTTCTTTGTTTCCTGATGTCTCTTGGTTGCCAGTCATACAAACAGCTTTACAGTTTTTTTTTTTTAAATCAGCCATTTAGCTTCAGGAGACTACTAGTAAGTCTGAAAATTGTATTTAAAAATGTCTAGTCTGTTTTGAAAAACAGTGGAAGGGCGCAACTTTGATGTGTTTATGCAAGATGTCTTACGTAACATTAGTTGGTTATCTGGCTCTAAGAAATTGTTTTACATCAGTTCTTTCCTACTCTGTACTGCTCACATAAAAGGATGTCTGTGTGACATTGGTTAACTACTTTTTTGGATAAGAAGAGAAGCTTTATGAGAGAAAAGATGAAAAAGAGGACTTATACATTCAGACACTCAAACAATGATGCAACAACATGAGCAGGCAGCATGCTGGACACAAACAGAATAACACATGCATAAAACTATATTGCAGTTACTTCCACCACCTGTCATGAATTAGTTATCAAAATAACAGATCCACCCAGAAACAAGCAGTGAAAAAAATGAGAAAGGTATTGATCTTATAAGGGTACCTTCTGTTATTTTGTTCGAATGTGTGCTTTCTTTTTTCATCCATTGGAGCAATGATGCAGAAATCGTATTTTTGATATTAAAGGGTTATCCCATAAGGTAAATGCATTCTGTATCAGCGTGATAAACATGGACATGTGTTTGTCTATTTTATTCTCTACCTTTTCCTTTTGAGATACCAGCTGAATATGAATTTCCAAATGCTGAATGATATTAACTATTTAGCCTGGGACAAAGATAAGGTTTTCATTGCAAAATATAGTGCATGATTCTTAAACTTGGATTACATGTTGGCGATCATCATTTTTTAAAATAGAGGTGTTTTTCTGCAATGTGCCTTTGCTACTTGGTTCATTAAGTAGAGCTTAGTGACATTGTGACTGTGAAAACTAACCAATGCAGAATTTCTCAGTGTTGCATAATACAGGAACTGCCACTGATAAAGTGAGATATGTTAACTCTGAAGAAGAATAGTAAGAGGATTACATTTGTTAAGATTACAACAGTAATTTATTTAGGTAGCTTTTAAGCCATTTCTTTGTATAAGCTGGCTTACCTAATGTCAAAGCAGTTCGGTCAGATTTAGTAGGATTCTTTAAAATTGGCCATAGATTTGAGTACCATTTCCAGCCTTCATCCTTGTTATAAATATAATTCAGATATGCTACTATCAAGAGTGAATTCTGGCTGCAGAATTTGGGGAATAGAAAAGTCAAATGAGAACATAGGTCAATATGAAACCACATTATTAATTAGTTTTGGGCCTTGCAATTGTATATTTACCATTTCAGTTTATGGTTTCTGTTTATAACACGTCTGTTATTGTTTTAGTCATCTCTTGTGGAGAACTTCCTACACCACCCTTTGGTACCAAATTGGGGACGCTGACTACATTTGGAGCAACTGCCATCTTTATGTGCAACCATGGATACACGCTGGTGGGATCACATGTGAGGGAATGTGGTGCTGATGGGCTATGGAGCGGTGCAGAAACAAGATGTTTAGGTAAGATCCATTGAGTAAAGTCAACTGTATAGCATACTGTTGCCTAGGTTCCAGTCTTGTGAACAATAGACATATTATATAGTGTGAGGTGTGAATCATTAAAAAGAAAAGGGAAGGCTCATGCATTGGGATTAAAATGCAGTGAGCCGTCAGAAAAATGTCAGAAGTATAATCCATCATCAAATGTTGCCCTGGGCCTTTTTTGTGAGAGCTTATTTTTCAATTGATCAGTACACATGATAAGAAGACAGTGTTTTTATAGGTTGTTTTTTGCACAGGCTTTTACTTCCTTGTTTTTTTTTTATTATTCTAATTTAAATAGGCTCTATGCACAGCTCCACTACTTCCTGAATTTAATGCAGCTCCTTTGTTTCCTGTCTTTCATGATTGGATGCACTGATTAATCCAGGTGTGTATGACCTAAGTAACTGGCCAGACACACCTGGATTAATCAGTTCGTCCAGTAATGAAAGACAGGAAACAAAGGAGCTGCCTTAAACTCAGGAAGTAGTGGAGCTGTGCATAGAGCCCATTGCATCTGCTTTAATCTTTTTTTTTTAGTTCTTCTGTAAAACCGTAAAAATTTTACTCTTACTATAGCCAATTATATGCTCCAGAGCTAAATGCAAGCCCTATGTACAGCGTATTTAATTATGTATTTAGTCATGCTATTTACTATAAAGTTCTTTTTTTCCTAGAAGGATCTTTTAAGCCTAGCTAATTTTCTTAGTTTGAAGAAAGAACTAGAAAAATACAGGTAAATATAAGCAAGCACATTTTTACTTTATTTCATTGATACAATTCAAAAAGTAAAACCAGTATATACATTAGTTGCATACAGAAATATACTTTTTAAAATGTATTTATCAAAACCTAAAATTTGTGGCTTTATTAACCCTCAATTTAATTTATTTGGAAACACACATCAAAGGAACAAGTAAATCCTAAGTCAATGTTTTTTTCAAGGTGTGTCGTGGGTCCTGATGAGCAATTTTACTGGTTTGATTATGAATTTATTAATCACCATAACCAGAGGTTATAACGAATTAATTGAAGAGTGAACTATCACGTCATTGCTGGTCAAATGATTAACTGACAATTTGTTCAATTACCAGGTGTTATTACTTACCTATATTAGCTGGACTTTTGGACTGGTTGTTGCAATCTAAGTTGTCTTCCCCACCAGTAAATGTCAATAACTTGGTTTTGTGCTTCAAGTAGTATTAATAATTAACCACAAGTAAAATATTTGTATCTGTCTATTCATGTTGTCAACTCAAAGGAAATTGATTCAGCTCTTAGAGACAATCAGTCACTGTCATAAAACAAGAGACTACCACAATCGAAATAATAAGTACTTTTATCAAATCTAATAATCCCTGTGTCATTAATATGTTCAATAGACTATGCAAACACTGTAGACTACTGGAACAGACACAGTATACATGAAAGAATCAGTGACATAAAAGGGGTTTACATGAGACCTTGAAGTAGAGTCTTTGATAATATCCAGTTAATAAGCTCAGCTGTTGTGATGCACTCAGGGAATGTCCATCAGATTAGCAGCATAGATTATACACAGCAGACAGGTGTGTAACAGAAGGCTCTGGTAACATTCAAGCCATTCAAATTTGATTTGCTTCAATAGTGAACAATGCATATGTGACAGCATTGAAATGTGTAGCCTATGGAATAAGTGGTGATGTATGGATGAAAGGCTTCTGTTGTCAAGGCAACCAATAGCTAGAGGCTAACACAGCTAATCCACAGCAAACAATGGTTAATTCGGCAAGCCCCAAACACTCTACTGTAAGTCAGGCTAATTATTTTACGTTAGCAGTTAGGATGGTTACCACAGGACATAAAAAGTCGGACCGTGCAAAAACTTTGGCCATAAAAAAAAATCCTTCAGGTCATAAGCTAAGCTGCCCTTTACAAGATGGCCGAAAAACAGACATGAATGATTGGCAACGTGTATAACTTGGTGTAGTCAGTCTGGAAGAACCCGCGGGATGCACAAAGGTAGATATGGAGATGAAATCGGAGAAAAACACACAAGACACGGCTTAATGAAGAAAATGGCGACTGCAACATTAAAAACACCCAATTTGAATGGTTGTCATAAAGCTTAGCTGAAGATTTCTCATTTTATTAAAAAAAATCAGCTTCCGACTGGTAATTCTCCTCACCCTCACCCAGACTCGGCCTCTGTCTCCTTGAACCCCAGTCGGCCTCGGCAGATGGCCGCTCACACTGAGCCTGGTTCTGCTGGAGGTTTCTTCCTGTTAAAAGGGAGTTTTTCCTCTCCACTGTAGATAGAAAACTTTGAATCAATTTGACTGTATTATCTGGTTGAACTGTAAAGTGCCTTGAGATGACATGTGTTGTGAATTTGGTGCTATATAAATAAACTGAATTGAATTGAATTGAACCCAGGCAAGTTACTCTCAACACTTAATTACTGTAGAAAGATTCTTAACTTGATGCTGTCTCACAGGGTGATACAGGTTCCACTCAACTTTAAATCATCATGCTTGGATACAGCACACTAGGAATAGCCAGCTCCTTTAGCACTGACCTTTTGTGGCTCTTTTTTTATTAAAGTCAATAACTACCAACTGGACAAGCAACGCATCAGATCTCTTCCCCCAATTGTGAATTTTATAATCTGGAATTTGTAGTTTGCATGTTTTTTTTATTTGTTTGTCATATGTGTGTGTATGTGTGTAGGGGGTGTGTTCATAATGATCTGTTATGATGTCACAGATGGCTCCATTTAACTAACTAATATTTTAAACATAATTTAAAAGGAGGGTTGTTTTTTTAGGGTAACCTATACAAAGAAAATCCAAAACTTGCCATCTTTAAAAACATCATAGTTCAACTTATCTTACCAAAACAGAGAAAGTTCATTTTTAACTTTTAATTTACAAATATCTGTCTTTTTGCAGCTGGTCACTGTGACTCTCCAGATCCTATAGTCAATGGTCACATTAGCGGAGATGGATCAAGTTACCGTGACACTGTTGTGTACCAGTGCATGTTAGGATATAGACTAATCGGCACATCTGTCAGAATCTGCCAGCAAGACCATCGGTGGTCCGGAACAACACCTGTCTGTGTCCGTAAGTAAACACAGCATTTCCTTAGCTTCTCTGAAATGTTGTACTTTGTTTTACAATTACAAAATAGTTTTCGAGTATTTTTTTTCTATGAGTCAGACTCCAAATACGTCTTGCATTCTGAGGTTTTCTCCAATTGAGCTAAATTAATAGTGCAAAAACAAGCTCAAGCACTTGTATTCAAATTTGGCCACATTTTTTTCCCCAATATTCTTTTCATTAAAAGAACTGGAAAACAGTAAATACAGTTACACAATTCTGCTGATGTAAGTCACAAATTAATATTTACAAGTGACACCTTTGTTTTCCCTTAGCCAAAAACATAGCACTGGTAATGGAACAAAAATAATTGTGACATGTTGGTAATTTACAGGGCAAAGGGTGCTGCCTGGTCAGTCAGTCTGCAACACGCGGAAATTACAGACCTACTGCCATGTTGTCATCGAAGGATGCAGGCTGTGTAGACCTTTGAAGGATGCAGCCATGGATATATTTTATATATTTTATTTTGCATGTTTTTTAGTTAGTTGTGTTGGACAGTCTATGCTAGTTTTTCGACTTATCAACACTAGTATTTTTCTTACCATTACAGACAGCTATAAATTTTCAGCTGACCAAAGTTTTTTTTATTATTCACCCTCTTCCTCTCCCCCCTTTGGCTATCTCTCTCTGTGTGTCTCTGCGGTGCTCTGACAGCCAGGGGGCGAGGAAGTGTCTGTCCTGCTCTAGGAGTTTCAATAAGGCAGTTGTTTGAAATGAATAAAAGAAAAAAAAATTAAGAGAGACCCCACACCGAGCCTTTGGTTTCACCCCTGAGTGATGGCCCCGAACAGATCTTCAGGAGCACCCAGCACGATGGGAAATACCTCTATGGCCAGTATGCCCCTGAAACGTTTTTTTTGAGACTATGTTTTGAAATTTCAGCTTCAGGGCTAGTTAAAGGGCAATCTTAGAGGGCAGCATGGCCTATGTATTTTGGGTTGGCGTAAACTGACCAAGCGGGCAGTGCCCTCTGTTGTTTACCTATGTGAACTACCTATAAGTCATAGATCATATTCGCTCCACTACTTTTGTAAAATTTGTAGCAAATGTAATTAAAGGTGTGACTTGCAAAGCTGAATTTTTTACTCACATGCAGCAGCGGATTTGTCTAGTTGTTTTCACTAATTAGCATTTTTTTTAAGGAAAAAAATTTGCAAAATTTGTTTTAGTTAAAATAGAGCGATTGTGAAAATGTATGATATTTTATTTGACTCAAATAGACTATTTGTTGTTTTACTCAATAGTTCTAAAAGCTGTATTTTTTAATTGAAAAAAATCTACAATATCATAACAAAAAAGCTAAATTGCCTAAATAGTTTTGCAACAATAGGTTTGGATCGATCGAAGCAAAACCAGGAATGTAAGATGTTTTTTATTTGTGACTCATAGAACACAAAGTATTTCTGGCTTTGAAATCTGAAGAAGTTTAACTTCTTCCATAATTGAGAACGATGAAAAATATAATCTACTGTTAGAAACTACTATAATCCATCTCTATGCGGCTTCAACGTTACAGTTATAATACACAATTTAATCTCATTCAAGTTAACCTCAATGGAACTTAACTAAGGAACAGAAAGAACTAAAAAAGATATTTACTTAAATTATTTATTTTACTAATCAAATTAAATAAAATGCAAAATGTGAAGCTGACAATAAAAGGGCTCAACCTAAATATGTTTTTTTTTTCTCTTATATGTCCAATTGTTCAGCTATCACTTGTGGACATCCAGGAAACCCTACCAATGGACAAACCAATGGCAGCGAGTTCAACCTCAATGACGTTGTCAACTTCACCTGCAATAAAGGTTACATCCTCAGTGGGAATGCTCGGGCTCAGTGCCGAATCAACGGACAGTGGAGCAACCCCTTACCTGCCTGCAAAGGTCACTTTCTCATCCTTCAAACAACATTACTAAAATGTTTCCATCCCAAAATATTATTTCCTTTGAAAAGCTTCACAAATTAAGAAGAGAGAATCATACGATGGTTTATTTGTCTTATTTTTTTTATCTTTACTTAAAAAATTAAGCACGCCATTTTAGATTAGTTTACCTTTTTATGTTTGGTTGTAGCATTTGGAAATCCACTTTTTTAAAACACTTTTCTATATAAATAAAATGTATCTACTTTAGCATTCAGTAATATTTTCTAGAAATTATAATTCAACAAATTTGAAGAGAAGCTTAAATTTTACACTTCTTTACTCTCTTTACAATAAGATAAAGGGCTTGATTCTGAAAAGAACACAAGTGTTTAGTGTTTAGTGTTTTTTGTGTCTTTTTTGAGATACTGATTTCATTTACCAGCAGGGCTTGGTACCTGACCTACACTTTCAAATGTAGCAATACCTTTTAGCAGGCTGGGCTTCACTGCTGACACAAAGCAATGATGTAGTTAACATTCAAAGGGGAACCCAGACCAGATATTTAGGGCAAACACTGTGCGATACATGGATATTGGTTTTAGTTTGCTGACAAAAAAATAAATAAATAAAAAATCCAATTGTTGCTATATAATATATGTATTAATATTTAAAATATTTTTATTTTTTTATTGGATTTTGTGAATAATCATCAACTTTTAGCAAAAAATAAACAACTTCAAATTTAGATTCATTTAATTGCTTATGTAATAGTATGTCTTGTATTATCACATAAAAGTAATAGTACAAAAAAGTAAACTCAAGCCTTTAAAACACTTGACAACACAAAGTCTCTTATATACACGGACTTCCTATCTAAAGGATTTTTTTCTGGCTTTCCATGTTTTCATCCTCCCTGATTTTTTTCGCTCTTATTCCCTATCTACCTCCTTCCCCCTTCCCTTTTCTCACAGCAGCAGCTGTCAATTATATGCCCGAAACTTTCTTGCTTCCCATAGGGCTCCAAACACACATACACACAATTACTCACACTCAGCCATCTCACCCATGGGCTTGGATTTCAGTGAATGTCAGTCCTCCCCTGTGACATGTGGAAAATCACACTCTACTCTACTATTGGACTGGCATATACCCAGAGAAGAGCAAAAGTTTAGAACAAAGAGCTCAAAAAAACTGAGTAAGGCATGACGAGAGAGAAGGTTTACAAGAGTAGCAAGGACAATCAGAATTTGTTGCAATTAGATTTTTTTAGTCTGTCGATTTTATAATTCAGCAAAAAAAAAAAAGATGAACCAAATACCAAATAATCAGTTCACACAGAGAACAGACCACAGTTGAAAACAGACATAACAAAGAGTGCATCGACTATCTCAAATAGTTGCAGCGATGCGTCAAAGTGTCTGCAGTTTTGGGAGGGGAAACAGCAGGCAGTAAATCCTTCAAGTGAATTGGGGAGGTACCGTTTGACTGGAATAAAAAGAGTTTTGCCTTTAAATTTCACAAACAGACTTTTCTTTTAACACAGCAGGTTTGTTTTCTGTGTGATGCTTTATCATTTCACTCTCTTTGTGACATAGAGGTTTGATGGTAAAGCAATAAAGCACATAAATCCCCAAAAGAGAGCCTCTTTTGGTGTTAGTCGCATAAGAAGACTACCTTAATCCTGGACATTTCAGTTGGGAACTGAGTATAAAAAGTTATAATATTGTGTGCATATTTTACTGAGTTCATTGCATATGCATGTGAAGTGATAAGTATTAAATGCTTAAATTTAATTCCAATATTAAAATGATAGATATATATTTTGGAAGTCTATGAAAAAACAAACTTTTTTTTTTAACTGTTTGTTACTTTGCATATAGGTAAATCCCATCAGCTGGATTTCAGTTCATTACATTTTAGGAATATATTAAATGGTTAACTTTGGAAGCCTAAAAAAGATTAAACGAAGAAAAAAATATGACTTTTATAAAGAACTAACTTATTTTATATATATGTATAATCACTTCTAAATGATAACAAAGCTTTAAGGCCCCAGCTGCTTGTTCCTCCAACTGACTGTAAAATAAACGATAATATAATATAACTGGACTTTCCCCTTGCATTTAACCCATCCCCTTGGGGAGCAGTAGGCTGCCATCATGCAGCACCCAGGGAACAGTGTGGGGTTAAGGGTCTTTGCTCAGAGACCCAGAGTCACAGTCTGTGGGAGTGTTGCTCGAAACTCAAAACCTCAGGATTCCAAGCTCTATGCCCTAACCACTAGGTTCCACTCCCACACCAAATTACAACACTGGCTTAAGATGTCTTACCGGTGAAACACCCATTTTTAAATATTTTGGACTCCTCTATTAAAGCATATAGAAGGCAGTTGCAGATAGCCTTACAAAGACTGAGCTTGATTTATAAAGTGTAAGAAATAAGCAAAAGACCATACCTTCTTGATGGACATGAAGTAAAAATATGAACTTTGGAAATATTAATAATTCAAATAAAGCAAAGGTAAGAGTCATTGTACCATTTCAAAATAAAAGTAGTGGGGCTGCAGCCTAATTCAGGACTTTGGAAATGTAGGTAAAATATCAATCTTATGTAACGTATTTCTTTACAAAAATTATTTATAAAAAAAAAGGTTTTAAAACAATTGCCAAGACTATTTTGCGTACAGTTTATTGATTTATTTCTAATTGATAATGATCACAAAAGGCAATAATTCAAAGTAGTGGTTTTCTTATCTTTGTGTGAAATCCTATGGAGATTGAATTACTATATTGCTAATCTATAAGGTGTTGATATTTCTAGGGCTTAAATTATATGAACGCCATCGAGGAAAGGTTTCCACATGAGGTACAGCTGGGAGTGCGGTCAATTTTGAGCCACAGGTGTTTGGAAGTAAATTGGCATCAGGATCAGGCATGTAGGGCAGAAAAGCTTTCTAAAATCAAAAGAAGAGAGGTGGTAATAAAAGGGTTAGAGGTGAAATACCAGACCATAAGATTCCTGGTTTGATGTCTCATGCTGTCATATTATCTGTTAGTTGCTCTTTTCCTCTTCTGTTCCATGTTGAGTTCCCATTCTGTTTTCTGTCATTTCTACCAATCTTACCTACATTTAAAAAGTTGGATTTTTCCAAACCTTTTACCATAATTATACTAATAATATGCATCCAAAACGTATGTAATTGTCTACTTCATGATAGTATCCTCTGAAAGTTACAATTATTACATGTAGTTTATTTACTGTAGCTTACATTGAATTCAATATTTTCCCTTTTATCCCATTTGTAATATCAGAAAAGGAAATGTAAGTACAGGATGTATGCTTTGGAAATCTCCTAAGACTTTCTGTCCTGTATGTTATTCATGTGTTTGTTAAGTAATTGCGGTGCACAATAAAAACACAGTCTACCAGAATGCTTTTGTATCTTGTACAGTGGTGAACTGTTCGGACCCTGGACATGTGGAGAATGGTGTTCACCAATCCGGTCTGCGTTACCCAGAAATCTTCAGCTATGGTGTAACTGTGGTCATTCACTGCAAGAGAGGCTTTTACCTACTTGGCTCTGCTGTCCTCACATGTCAGCACAATGGGCTGTGGGACCGCCCAACACCTCGCTGCTTAGGTAGGTATGGCCGATGTGGTATACAGGTGCTGGTCATAAAATTAGAATATCATGAAAAAGTAGATTGATTTCAGTAATTCCATTTAAAAAGTGAAACTTGTATATTATATTCATACATTACATACAAACTCATATATTTCAGATGTTTATTTTGTTTAATTTTGATGATTACAAATGACAACAAATGAAAATCTCAAATTCATCATATCAGAAAATTAGAATATTGTGAAAAGGTTCAAAATTGATGGCCCCTGGTGCCACACTCTAATCAGCTAATTAACTCAAACCACCTGCAAAAGCCTTTAAATGGTCTTTCAGTCTAGTTCTATAGGCTACACAATCATGGGGAAGACTGCTGACTTGACAGTTGTCCAAAAGACGACCATCGACACCTTGCACAAGGAGGGCAAGACACAAAAGGTCATCGCTAAAGAGGCTGGCTGTTCACAGAGCTCAGTGTCCAAGCACATTAATAGAGAGGCGAAGGGAAGGAAAAGATGTGGTCGAAAAAAGTGTACAAGCAAGAGAGATAACCGCACCCTGGAGAGGATTGTGAAACAAAACCCATTCAAAAATGTGGGGGAGATTCACAAAGAGTGGACTGCAGCTGGAGTGAGTGCTTCAAGAACCACCACACACAGACGTATGAAAGACATGGGTTTCTGCTGTCGCATTCCTTGTGTCAAGCCACTCTTGAACCACAGACAGCGTCAGAAGCGTCTTGCCTGGGCTAAAGAGAAACAGGACTGGACTGCTGGTGAGTGGTCCAAAGTCATGTTCTCTGATGAAAGTAAATTTTGCATTTCCTTTGGAAATCAAGGTCCCAGAGTCTGGAGGAAAAGAAGAGAGGCACTTCATCCACGTTGCTTGAAGTCCAGTGTAAAGTTTCCACAGTCAGTGATGGTTTGGGGTGCCATGTCATCTGCTGGTGTTGGTCCATTGTGTTTTCTGAGGTCCAGGGTCAACGCAGCCACATACCAGGAAGTTTTAGAGCACTTCATGCTTCCTGCAGCTGACCAACTTTTTGGAGATGCAGATTTCATTTTCCAACAGGACTTGGCACCTGCACACAGTGCCAAAGCTACCAGTACCTGGTTGAAGGACCATGGTATCCCTGTTCTTAATTGGCCAGCAAACTCTCCTGACCTTAACCCCATAGAAAATCTATGGGGTATTGTGAAGAAGAAGATGCAATACACCAGACCCAACAATTCAGAAGAGCTAAAAGCCACTATTAGAGCAACCTGGGCTATCATAACACCTGAGCAGTGCCACAGACTGATCGACTCCATGCCACGCCGCATTGCTGCAGTAATACAGGCCAAAGGAGGCCCAACTAAATACTGAGTGCTGTACATGCTCATACTTTTCATGTTCATACTTTTCAGTTGGCCAACATTTCTATAAATCCTTTGTTTTTATTGGTCTTCAGTAATATTCTAATTTTCTGATATGATGAATTTGAGATTTTCATTTGTTGTCATTTGTAATCATCAAAATTAAACAAAATAAACATCTGAAATATATGAGTTTGTATGTAATGTATGAATATAATATACAAGTTTCACTTTTTAAATGGAATTACTGAAATCAATCTACTTTTTCATGATATTCTAATTTTATGACCAGCACCTGTATAAATATACTAAGTATCAGATGTGTAAAGAAACATCCCTGTCTTGTCTTTAAAGGATTTAATGAAAACAGAAAAAAAACACATTAGTAGTTATAATCTATAATGATATTTTTGTCTTTTGAAATCTAGGATAATTTTTTTAAGGAATCTTTAAAGCAATGGCAATGTTAATTTTAGATTATTGCAAGTTAAAAAGTATGTAAAGCAATTATCTCAGTATAATAAACAACTGCATTTACACATGAGCTATGAGCTCAGCTTATCAGAGAGCATTATATCCAAATGTTTAATCCAAGGTGCCGCTTTTTTTTGTCAGTTTTCATGCCTTTTCTAGTTTACATTAGGAAATTTGCAAAGCCCTCCAGTCCTGAGATGATTAGCAACTCTCTTGAATGATTTCATCTTTAGAATGATTTTGCACATGTTTAAGGGATTTCTGTCTCCGAAAGAATATGAAACAGTCAGTTCTTTTTTATCTGCTACAAAAGATTGTTGTATCTGCTCATGTCTTTTAAACTATAAGTGTCAGTGTGTTAAATCCACTCTTCAGGAGGACGGCTACATCTTTGAAATTAGATGACATGTAGTGTGTGGTGGCTGCAGCACTTGTATTCACATTTCAAAGCCTCAATGTAATATGACATATCTATATGTTTCTATACTGTAAGAATTCTGAGAATTCTTTTTGTTTTATTATTTCCTGCTGATTGTACTACTGTAGGGCTAGTCGATATACATGTACGCAGGCATACTGATCCCTAAAACAAAAAACTGACTAAAAGTCCAAATATGCCCAACAAAAGAAGAATAAAGTGCACATATACCCTATAGTATTCCATATAACCCATGTAGAGTTAGCCTCTTCTTAGGCATGCCACAGAAATAATGAGGAAGATTCAGACATAACGTAGCTCGATCTGAGGATGAGGGTCCCATGCAAAAAGAATAACAGAGACCTAAGTAAGGGCTGAGATTGCTGACAGGAAGCTGCAATGAATTCCTTCATCCTCAATAGGTCAAGACCACTAAGTAAAGTTCTTACTTCTTAAATAAGATTAATTCCTTTGTTTGATCTCCATGGCTTACAATAGATTATTCAGCCATGAATCATAGGGATTTAAATCCACTGCAATACTTCTAGCCATAAATTATGTTTGTTTTGCTGGATCTGTCAGTCTTCATGAACAAAAACACATTTTACATTAAGGAGGAAACAAAAGGAAACATAGAGGAACCTGTTTATGAGAAATATCCATGTGTTTATGTGTAGTCTGAAACTGAAAGGGTCTGACTTTAACTCATTTCAATTCAAACTCTAAAGTTGAGCAAAGCCTTCTCCCAGATGTAGAAAGCCAGGAACCACAAAAAAAAAAAAAAAAAAAAAGTTTATTAAAACAGCTTATAAAATTCTGAGTTTAGGTAAACTGATTATTTGAATTGGTGGTAAAGGTGGAGCCTCATCAAACCTATCAAGGTTAATTGAAAGCGGTTCAGTTGAAACCAGTCATGAATAATAGCCCTTTGGTCCTTAAAGCTAGAGTACCAAGAGGTCTTTCTTTTCTTTTTTAGTTTACTTGCACATTTATTGTATCTAAAAGACCTTCATTTAGGTGATAAATCCGATAAAGCATCAAAAGGCACAGCCCATTTACTCTTTATGGAAACACTTCAGCCATATGCATTTTTGCTTTTTGAAATTCATTGTGTTCAGTGGAAGCAATGAGGATATTGTTTGTCAGGAACTAAGATTTATATCCACATAAAGGTTGAAATAACACATAAGCACAGTCATGAAAAAACTGGAAACTATAATCATCCCCATGAAAAAGTTCAGAGAAAAAAATATGTACGTTTGTTTTTTTCATGGATTTCTTTGAAAGAAATGTCTTAAATGTGGTTTCACCGCAAGGAAAAGTCCTTTTTATATTACTAAAAAGCAAAACATCGAGTGAAATGGTTTTAGGAGCCACTAAGAAACAAGGAATGGATGAGATACTGAAAGAAAAGATGAGATTTAAAGTGAGAAAGGGAAGCAATCATGAAGAAATGCGCAATATGGAAGAAAACAACTGAACTGTTTGTATGAGTATGTATGTGAGCATGTTTCTCTTAAGGCAATAGATGTTCTTGTTAGGAAGCTCCCATTGCTCATAGAAGCATGGAGATTAAACAGGAGAGGAATTGAGGGAGGCTGATTCGAAGATGAAGGGAGAAGCATGAAGAGGTTAACAGAAGTGCAGGAGTAGAATGCAGCAACTGCTGGCAGAGATGAGGAATCAGGCAGAAATGGAAGAAGTGGGTGATAGTTATGTGCCTTTGCGTCACATTCCAAGAAACATTCAGAAATTGCAGAAACATAGGTGATATCTGGGGGCAGAGGAAAAATGAGATTAAACAAATGCAAAAAAAAAAATCACTTCTTTGTGTCTGTAGCCATTGAAAATGTGGGTTTTCTATACTCAAAGATTTCTCTATTTTTGGCAAATATTTGATAATTTGACATTGAAACAAATCCTATTAACTTCCACTTTCACAAAAAAATGCATTTCATTTTATATAAAGAGGCTGTTTTTATTCTTTACTTTGTATATTTTCTAAACTCTGAATCTGAATCCATGCCAGTGATTTTGTAGATAATGGAAGGTTAATTATCTTAATGCTGGAACATTTCATGTGGTTATATCAAACAGAGTGAATAAGCACAAACATACTTGTTGAGACTGATACGAGTTACCTCATCACCATATTCTCTTTGACGGAGTTTAGGTGAATTTCACTTTTAATTCGAGTCATCTCCTCTTTTCTTATAGTTAATTGCATCCTTTCACACATAAACACACATTGTCAACAAACACCTTTTGTGATGCTTCCCTTTTTCGTCCTTTCTGCCTCTCTCATTTAGAGAGAGCAGTACCCCAGCTGAAACACTTAATGTAATTATATATCTGGAATCTTAAATTTAATTTATTCACAAACTCCTGTCTGTCCTTCTTTTCGTCCAATCTCTCATTATCTCCATAGCTATTTCCTGTGGTGATCCGGGTGTACCACCTAATGCAGTAGTCTCTGGGACCCACAGTTGGACGTATGGCTCTGTGCTGCAGTACTCCTGTCTGCCTGGTGGGGTTCTAGTCGGCAATTCTACACGTTATTGCAAGGAGGATGGCACTTGGAGCGGAGCACCACCCTACTGCACAGGTAGTTAAATTAACTTGTTTAATTAAATCGGTTCTTGTTTTTGTAGTATGATTAGCATGAATCAAGTCTTAAAGTATGCGCTTTTGCATAACCTAACAGAAATTGTTTACTTAAACTAGATGCATCAACTTACATTGTAAACATGGAAATGTAACTAATTCTTTTTAAAGTAATCTAGACAGCAATGTAGTTTCTGCTTATCCTAGAAAGCACCCTCAATACAGATGTGTAAAATTGATAGAATAAGTTATATCATTGACTGCAGACAGGACAAGTGTCTGTTATTCTTTTAAACTTAATGTATGGAATAAATGCGGAAGTGGTATTTGTCAACTGCAATCAAATGCAAAATAGAATTTATTTGTAAGGTTTTGGACATAACTGTTGCTAAGGAGAGCTGATTTCAATGACAAAATAGTCCAAAGCAGCAATATTGAAGCAGTCCGATCACGTTTCTTTAATTTTTTAAAGAAGGATTTGCCTTTTTGTGTTAAAACAGAAAAGGGTTGAATAGAGGGAAAATATTAACAAAATCATTTGTAAATGGCTTTCACTGGATTTTGGAGGAGAAATATTCATCAAACTGCCATGAATATTTGCTTCTGCAAAGAGAGACGGACACAGTAAGGAGAGGGTTATGGTATCCAACCAACCATTAAAATAACCTTTTTTCCACTATTATGTTTGTTTGTGGTTATCTAACTCAGTTGTGTGGTAGTAATTTCTACTTTCATTGAAGCGAGACTTTACTTAGAACGAAGCGCTTTGAAACTGCTGTGGAGTAATTTTTCGATTGAACTAACTTACTTTATTGAAAGCTATAATAAATAATGAGTAATTAGATTACCTTAAGTTCTACACTAATTGCAGCCCATTATAGTTGAGCATTAATCTTTCCTCTGTTAATGTTCCTACAGATTAATAGCAGTTAGCTCCAACTCTTACTGCATGAGTGTGTCCCAGGAACAGATAAAGAATTTTTCTCAGTTTGGGCCATAAATAAAACACCTGAGGAGATCGTAATTTAATATCAGTTAATCAGTGTAATAACTGAATAACTGCAGCAAGCTGTTTATATCCTTGATTATAATTACTGATCTCTTGCTTATCAAAAACAAACCATCCCATGACCACATTGCCCCTTTTTTAAACAATACCTTCTTTAACCAGCAGTATTCCCATCATTTTGAGTAGCATGTGGAATATCTATCTGAAGAAAGGGTTTTATAGTATAAGGACAATTTAAGAGAATCAGTTTTGTACATTTTGCTGTCATTATCGACCCATAATGAGTTTTTTTATTGAAAAATCCAGCCCAGAATGTACATGTAGAATACAGGCAGAAATAAAAAACACTAATAAAGGAAAGTTGTATCCATAATGGACATCCTTAAAAATGTACTGTCACCCTCAGAAGAAACCCTGTTTAAGCTTGATTTATATTTTATGTGTCTGCATGGTCCACATGGCCATATTACTTCATTTTAGCTACCTCTCCCTTGCATCCATACAGACAGAATTTTCTCACAGCACTCCTAGGAAAAGTTGTAACTACGCAGACAGCTCTGTGTGGAAAAACATGGTGGAATAGCGACAATTTTGGTGAGGGTTTACAAAAAGAAACATCTAGACATCTTATGATTTAGGCCAGAAAAATCACTGTGATCAACAAATTGTCAGCAAATTGGCTCTTGTGTCACACAAAGAGGCTTTGAAAAAGTTGGAAATGGCTGTATTTCTTATTTCCTCATATAGTGTGGTGTTGTACTGTAAGCTTGGGATTTGTGCTGTCCGGCCTGTTGAGCCGGCCAGCCTTTTAGGCGCAAGTAGGAAAGCAACATTGCTTATAAAAGATGCAGACTTTGCATCTACATCTCAGTTTCTGCGCCTAATGTGTGCGCGTTAAGCACAAATCAAGGTTAGCTTGAGATGTTTTGAGAGAAACTAACTACATAGAGATGTATCATGTACTATTTACATAATGTGCACCTTGTATTTCTGTCTGAGGATGTCTTTGTGTGTATAGGTGTCTGTGACACTGTTAAAATGAGATGGAATGTGGGTGTCCAATAACATGTGGATGATTATCCTCACAGAATAGTAATTTTAATGGCTTAATGTGTCCTCCCCCCAATCTGAATTGAACAAGTTCATAATTACTATTAGTAATCTCCAGAATTTATTACTAGAATCCTAATAGATGGTGAACATGTTCTGTTTGACACTGTTTGTTGTTCCAATTGTTGTTCACTTAGTGACATTGTTGTTGTGTCATATAAAAATTCTCCCATATCAGATAAAAGGGTTTTGATCAGATTCCCTCTGGTAAGAAAAGGCAGCAGTTTTATCTGAGTCTTCTGTTTCTCCAGTTAAATGCCCACATTACTATTCTTGACTGTGTGCTGTTTGGCTAATTCATTGCAATAGGGAATAAGTCACTGGAGCAATTCTTGTTCACTACAGTTTTGAAGTAATGGAGCAGGCGAACACAAATCCTACAGTACCAAAAACCTATCATTTTAAAACTCTGCAGCTGCTGTCTCAATAGCTGAAGTGCAGTAAGCTTCCTCTTCCAGCCTCAAAACAGCACTCAGCAGGGCAAATTCCAACCTGCAGCTAAAGACCTCCATGAGATGCAAGAGTCTGCATTTGGAGCTGCACCCTGTTAAACTCACAAATCCTGCTGAGTTTGAGCAGTTACAATTGTGACATGCTCAATGGATTAAGAGTCAGAGGAATTTAGTATGGCCTGAAACCAAAAAATATAGTTCCTCAAAGTTAGCAGGTCTGTGTATATGCATGTATTAGTGTAACATCAAGTAGCAGTAGACAAACACTGTTTATGAAAGACTATGTAAACATTTTTGATATATATATATATATCAACTCTGGACCTCTGCAGAGTTTAGTGCTTTCTATCCTAACACCAGGAAAGCAACCATCATGTTATTAAGAGCTTATCCAGGCAATGCACAGATGCATGGCACAGATGGTCCCTGAGCAAGACCCTTAACCCCAACACTGCTCCCCGGGCGCCTCACAATGGCAGCTCACTGCTCCCCTCAGGGATGGGTTAAATGCAGAGAAGTAATTTCCCTCTGGGATTATTAGAGTATTGAAAATCAAAAAAAAAAAAAAAAAAAAAATCCAAATCAGCTTGGATATCAATTTATTATTGTAACGTTGAGATGTTATATTTTTCAATGTCTGCCTTTTTTGGTGTAGTATATAATGTTTTTTTGTCAAAATTATTTTCTCTTCCTGTCAAGCTATGAAATGAGTCACAAACAATATACATCATGTTAATGCATATCTGTCTTCACATCAAATCTATTGAGTAGATTTAAGATTCCTATGAAAACTGATACAGTTCAGTGTGTGTTTTTCTCTTTTATTTTAATCTTTTATGCTATGATGATTACTGAAAGGTTGTCCGCATGTTTTCACTTTGGCATGATTGTTGTTGCACTTTGTACAGCAAATGACCACTTCTTTTTTCACTATAGGGGCTAGTCCTGGAATATGTGGCGACCCTGGGATCCCTCCACATGGCACCCGATTGGGAGGAGATGAATTTAAGACCAAGAGCCTCCTGCGTTTTAGCTGCGAGGCTGGGTATAATCTGATTGGCTCAGCTGAGAGGACTTGTCTTCTTAATGGCAGCTGGAGTGGTACACAGCCTGTGTGTCAAGGTGAGAAGTGTGGCACTGACCATTTATTTGAATCTCTAACAATTTGTTTATGTGCTGATCAGGAAGAAGATCTTTACAGTATGTTCCTGTCACAATACAAAGGGTTTTTTTATCTTGGAAAATCAAAGAAGAGATTCTTCATTGAAACTTATCAAATGCTTATGTGCCTTTGTAAACAGTAATCTATTTATACAGATGCTATTTTAACCTCTCTTATTGTAAAAAGCTGTTGCCTGATTTATACAGGCTCTCTGATGAGATAGCATTGCATATGGAGAACTGTTTGTCTAGGTGAAACATTTTGATATCAAACTATTTCTGGCTCATTACCTCTGGGTTTGAACCCAGTTTCCTTAAAATATTACAGCAGGAATGAAATATGCAATAAAATGACTGTTTTCACATTTTGAGAAAACCTATAATGCATTTTTGGATATGGAGTTTTCACCATGCAATGTGAAAATATAAATCAGCTGAGGCCCTGGAGCTAAAGAGCATAGGGGTTTTCTCAGCAAATAAAGCAGCATTAACTACAGAGGTGAAAGTAAAAAAAAAAAACGGATCCTATATCAAACAAAAAGTCTTCACACTGCGCTCTATACATTTTCCGTAATGTGGTGGAGAAGCTTGCTCATTGTTCATTCTTGCACGCTGTAACAGAGAGTGTTTATGGAATGAAGCCATGTAGACATGACTTATGAATGTGTTAAAATCTGAGCTTCTCCAGTTTTCTCACAGGTTCAGGCTCATATTCGCACTGCAAGAAAAAAAAAATCACTAAATTAGAAAACTCTTCAAAAAATAATTGACTTTAGTAATTAAATTCTGGGAGGGAATTTCTATAGATCCATTACACACAGATATAGTATAAATATATTATGTATATAATATATTATATAACTTCTATTAATATAAGTTTAAAGTCAGCTAATTTAGGTAAATATGTAGAGCTGAATAATGTAAAGGAATTTATTGTTATGAACGGGCTATTCATTGGTTAATTAAGTCAGAACATTAATTGATCAGCAAATAAGTATTTTGTTGCAGCCTTTCTCATACAATTAGTATATAGCATATGACATATAACATGTCTCGGGAGTGATGGCCTAGTTGTCAAGAGCACTGCTTTTGTTCGATGAGAGGGTTGCAAGTACCCGGTTCGATCCCCATAGCCTCCACACAGGGTTCCTGAGCAAGACCCTCAACCCCACACTGCTCTCTGGGCACCACACAATGGCAGCCCACTGCTACCCAAGGGGATGGGTCAAAATGCAGAGAGTGCATTTACCCCATTGTGGGATAATGAAGGGATTTACATTTTTTTTTTCAATCCCATGTGTGTGTTTAAACACCACTAACACAACTGATTGGCGGGTAGTTAAACATACAACGAATGTAAAAAGCTTGTGCTATTTGGATATCAGCACTCCAACCAGTCATCAAGATAAAGTTTGAATCGATAGGCTCAGCTTTCTGTCAAGATTTCAGCACCAAACCAAGCAAAACGCAATGACATAAACTACCTTTGAACAATTTTATAGAGGGGGTTTATTTTTGGGGGAGACATATTCTGTTTTGGTTTCGCTAAGCTCAGCAATAAAAACATTTTTCTCAATCCACAGAGAAATTAATTATGCGATCGCTATGCTCTTGGTTATATAAAGGAAGAGGCTCTTTAATGTTTTCCGTATCAAAAAACAGAAATTTAACCAAAAAATTCAACATCACCAAACCTTATACAAAAAAGAAAACCAAAAAAATATATCTGGTGTAATGTGATTTAATGATTCTTAGCAATAATTTATGTAAATGGAATAAAAAGAAAAATGTAGATGTCAAAGCCTTTAAATAAATTTCTCTAATAATTAATAATTATATATAAACTTTTAATAAAGTTTATTCTTCATAGCCAAAACCTTTAAAGACACTATATGGACCAGTGAAAATGTAGAGAAGTTGAGAGATGGTTGCTTTACAGCTGCAGTCACTGGAACCTCACACTGTTCTCCCAATTTCAGCTGAATAAAACACACAACCTTCAGTCTATTTGCTAGTTAGACTAAAGTTTTTTTTCAAGGGATGAGTCCTTCAGTATCAGCCTCCAGTTGACTAAAGGACTGTCAAAAGTAATTAGTGGAGTAAATGTGTACTGATGTAAATGTGTAAAAAGAACAGTTTACTATGATATAAAGGTCATTTTTATGCTTGCCATCATGATGTCTGACTTTTAATATTTTAGTAATGTTCACCTGTTGATTAATTACACTTCAAAATGTCTTGTCAAACCTGAAATGATTGCTGTTTTAAAAAAAATCCAAGCTTTAATGGAAAAATGTAATGTAATTTTTCTTCATGTCAGAAATCAATACATTTGGGTTGTATTTACTTATGGCGAGGACAATATTATAGGGTACCAGTGGGTTTATTAGGAGTCATATTACATAAACTCAAGTAAATGGTTTACACAAACTAAAACTCTAACAAAGAAATGTAGCCTGTTAGTCTTAACATCGTAAAACACACACATGCCTTGAGGATGCCTGTCTGCCTTTGCCCGTGCCTATTTGTGCAAGGTAATTATTTACGTCTATCTATATTTATTTTTCATTAGGCTAATAGTAGTTAAAAGTTGGTTCAGGAAGGGGGGGACTTTCATCACTTGGACATGAGAAAACACAAATCCATACTTACAAACACATACCCATCCAGAGTCTGCTGCTACAGCACACATCCTAACACCCTAACTGAAAACAGCACAAATTTACTGTTGGACCAAGCTTTAAAAGGGTCCTAACAAATGAGTCCAATCAATAGGTGGCTGATTGTTAAGGGCTGTCGGCTGTCATGAACTTATTAGTGAAATGCGCTGTGGGAGGTTGCTAATTCGTCCCAGCTCAGTTAATGTGCTTTGCCAGCAAACTAAAGTTCAATGAATCAGTAGTTTAGACCTTTCCTGTCTGCTTAAAGTGCCCTTCTTGACAGTTTTGTAATGCAATCCGTAGACCAGTTGTTATCAAAAATTAAAAGGCCTCTGTCGTATTCCTCACTTTCCTCAAGTTTTAAATAATAAAGTCACTCTACAACCCAGCAGTCAGAGCGATCCTGTTTCATTTTTCTTTTCATTTGATTTGTGTGCAAATGTTAAGTATAATGCTCATAAATTTTTTCCTAAACCAACAATTTGATTTTTCTACCAGAAGGAAGAACCAGGCAACATTTGCCTGTATGTTTTTAATGTTTTAAGCAGCAGCCCTTTGATAGATGTTGATTTATTCTGAACTTCCAGTTAGTCTTAAGTGCACAAATGTAACCCTTGTATCTGTCACTCACTGTTAGGAATTAGGTCAATGACCTTTATTCATCAATCAGCCTTTTCATAAAGGATACAGTTTAGGGTATTTCCAGCTGTCTGCAGTGATAATCTCATTATTGCAGCCCAGAGCTGATCAGCACTGATTGACAGGAAGACACTAATAGCTCGCTTTGCAGTGAATTCCTCCGTTAATCAACGCTGACGGGTATGTTTTTTTTTTTTTTTTTCCTAAATCCTTAGCTGTATCCTGTGGTAACCCTGGCACCCCTGCCTATGGAAGAATTGTGTTCAGTGACGGCATCACCTTTGGCAGCTCAGTGGCTTACGCATGTTGGGAAGGCTTCAAAACGTCGGGCCTGACCACAAGACACTGCACAACAAATGGGACGTGGACGGGTCAGCCCCCAGATTGCACTGGTAGGAATGCTTTGACACAATTGGTTAGTATTTTTAACATGAAGTGTTGCAGGGCTTCAATAATCTTAAGAAGAGTAAGCTTACCTTAATAAGTAAGTCAGAATATTTGTGATTGATTAAGGCTAACAGATTGGATTGATATCCGGTGATGTTACAGGATGCTTTTTGCAGAAAAGGACAAGTATGTTAGGTAAAAACTTCTGGTTGGTTAACATGGCCAAGGGACAAACATATAGGAGTAGAAAGAATAAAATGTAAAGAGTTGGAGGGGGAAAATGCAGGAGTTTGCACCAGAGTGCTTAAAGAGGCTTCTCTGTGAAAAAGCCACTACAAGCTTTTCCAATTTTTAGGTCTTTAAATAATGTTGTTCCCTTTGTAAGGGAAATTGATTAAGTCAACATGACCAAAAAAACTCTGATATTCACATACTGTAGATGAACCTTTCTTTTTTAACATTTTTTTTCTTTCTTTTTCTTTTCTTTAGTGATCAGTTGCGGAGACCCTGGACCTATAGCTAATGGCATCTATTTAGGAAGAGAATTTACCTTCAACCGCACAGTGGCCTACCGCTGTAACCCCGGCCACGTAATGGAACCAGCTGGACGCAGTGTTTTGAGCTGCACTAAAGATGGAACCTGGAACCAAACCAAACCCAGCTGCAAAGGTATCAGAAAGCAACATAAGTAGAAGATTTGCTATCCGAAGGCAGTTTGCCATCTGCTCATGGTTCAATAATGGCACCTCTGGGAGTGTCCAGTTCTGTCAATGAGAAACCACAACTGCTCTCATCTGTAAGCACTGGCAAAACTGGCTAATTTCAACTATGAGTCAAAAGTCTGTTAGTTAGATCACAGAAGTAGCAGGGCTTTGTGCAAAAAGAGGCAATGAGAAAAAAAAAACATTCTTGTTGAATGAGTAAAAACAACTTTAAATAGATCTTTTGACTCACTTAAAGCAATCTGACTTATTACGTTCATACCTTCAGGAATAGTGAATTTTATTAGATGATTACAAAGTTCTGCTAATTCTTGGCACATTTTGGTTAAGTTAATGTTTAATTTAAACCATAGCCTACAGAGAAGTTGCAGATAATCAAATAATAATATTATTAAATAAATGATAAATTATATTTTTATATAAAGGTATTAGTAAGGAGAAGGACATTAGAAATTCCACAGCATTATATATACACTTTGGCAAAAAGGAAAACATTCATCTAGATGAGCTTCTAGCAGTGTTGCAGGGAAGCTCTTTTATTGTCCAAATGAGTGTGCAAAGGAGAAGAAAAACAGGACAGAGTTCATAAAACAGGTTTAAATTGGAGGCAGTCGTACTTGGACTCAGTTTTCTTGAAAGAGCTCTCCTCTCAAAGCATCATGGGAGTTGTTTTGGTGGCAAGATAGAACAAAGATGGTATAAGCACCGTACAGGTAGAAGTCCTGTGACCAAAAGTAAAAGTAGTGGTCAGTTAACGGAGTTCACTATAAAGTCAACTATATAGCACCTACTCTGTATAGTGATTGAGGGATTTAGGGGTTAGGGCGGACATTTGGACACAGCCTTTGTCTATGCTGTCAGTCGGAGCGCTGTTGTTTTTAAGCCCCTGGAGGCCAGTCCTCCTAAGCACATTCCAAGTTAGAATTAATTTAAGGACCAATCAGTCAATCTTATGTGTCATTGGCCATCTAAATCATGAAACAAATGCTTGTGCAATCTCTTTAAATTAGTTCCAGGACAGAATTGTGGATGTTTGGAACCTTAAATCACAAACCCCTTCCTATGTTCAGTGATTTTTTTTTTTTTTTTTTTTTTGACAGAGGTGTCATGATTCTGCACTTTTTGGTTCTGTTTTAGTTTTCAGTTACACATTGATTCATGTCTTTCTGTGTTTTCTAGTTTATTGGTTTCATTTTCATTTTGTCACTCCATTTGTTTTCTGATTATAATTAAGATCTTATGTATTTCCTGTTTACTTTCTGTTGCCCTCTTTTGTCAATCTCCTTTCCTGTTGCTCCCTTCTATATCCTTCTGTTCACACCTGCTCCCAATCAGTTGATTACTCCATTCTTTGTTCTGTTTGGCATTTATACTCCTCATCTGCTTGTTGCTCAGTGCTGGATTCTCTTTGTTCCTTTGTTCCCTCGTTAACCCATGTGAAACCACCTCAGCTTCCGCCTCTGCATTTGGGTCCTCTAAAAACCTCCACATAACTTGACAGAAGGCTTATTTCACCACCTTTCTATACTGTCTGTCCTCTTTGTCCAACCTCTGAATATTAAGGTCATCAAAGATGTTTCCTTTGTTCTTAAGGTGCAATTGTACAGCTAAAACTTCCCCCAAACCTCTGGCTCTCCTGTGCTTCAAAATGTATTTGTCCCAGTCTTGTGTGATTTCTCCAATGTAGGAACCAAAGCAGTCCTCACTGCACGGGACCGCATAAACAACGCCACTCAGGCTTTTTGGTGTTCTGTGTTATGGGGCTTGAAATTTACTTGGTATGTTATGTTTAAGGAAAATCCTTCTGAGTTCCTCAGAAACACCTGATACGTAAGGAATAACAATTCCTTTGCTATTATTTTTTCTCCTTTGTGTTAGATGCAGTGTTGTTCTTCCTGTTAACAGGGGTATGGAAATAAGAATATAATAGAAAAAAGTTTAATATTTTATGGCAACAAATTTCAAGATGTTTTCAACAGCTGTTTGAGCTTTATAAAACGACGAGTAATCGCATCAGTTTTTTGCTTGTTTCGAGTGAATCAGATTCTAACTTTCTTGAAACCTAAAAAATTTTCACTAGTATTTGCAACACACGATTGTATCAGGATTGTTGTGTGTGGCATAAAATGTAATCAAATGCTTTGAAGTTAGTAGGTTTTAGTTATACTGTTTGCATAAGGTCCACATAGAACATAAACTGAAAGGAATCCAATATGACAGTACAGCAAAAATCTTTACTGTAGTTAAAGTTGTGAACCATGAAGAGCAACACAGGAAACTACACAGTAATACTGCAGCTGTTCTAACACACATACTAATTTAAATGTTTCATTTCAATGTGAAATGATTCATTAAATGAAAGATTGATACTTGACTGCAGATCTGTTTTGAAAAATCAGGACATAAGACATTACTCCTCCCAACAGTGTGAGTCTGTAAGACATACAAAACATTTCTGATCTCCAGCAGTGACAAAAAACAATAAAAAAGATCAAGAAAAAACATAGATTGTACTACCATGGGAGTGTAAATCAGCCTACTTTAGACCATTGTACTCAACAGGGAAATGTTTCCTGAGATCCTTTCTGCCACCTTTTTCCCATAAACAGAAACCCCCTGCTGGCATTCTCAGTAGCAGAGGCTTTGAACTGAGAAAAAAAAAATCCAAATGAAAAAAAACAAGCTGAAAAAAATCGGGGGAGAGAGGATGCTGAAAAGGAACCAAAGAAGTACTTGTTGAGGTAAAACAGAAAAAAAAATGCTGTTGGTGATGGAGACTGACAGAGAAACTGAAAAGTGGAAATTATAGGTGTTAGGAATGAAGAAGAGTTGGTGACTGGAATAAGCTTCAAGCTCTATCCCATTCGTTTGTCCCCTTTTTTTCGTCTTCTTTTCCCCTCAGTTCTCACCTTTCTCTTAGATTTAGAGTTTTTTCTTAATGTAGTAAAGTTTTATTCTACCTGTTTCTATCTCCTTTGTTGAGATTCATTTTGTTTCGATGCAAAGACATTTCATTTGCAAAAATAGAAACACATGAACAGAATTCATAGAACCCAGTGTTGCAGTTTGACAGATTTTATAATGAGAGTAATAACAAGAGGTGAAGGCTGTGGGGTGGGAAGTAAAAAGCTGTAGGAAAGGAGGAGAGAAAATATATGATATAAAGAGGTGGATTGGAGAAAAAATGGGTTTAGGACAGAGGGAGGTGCAAAAACACAACAACGGTATACATCGAGCAACAACGTGATTAAGAGAACAAGCATTAGGAAATCAAGAACATAAGATTTAAGCAAGTGAACGAGAATGAAAAAAGGGCGGGATGCTGATGGGCCATCACGTTGGTTACAAGGGGGAAATAAAATGGAAATAGGTGAGAAGTGAAATAAGCAATGAGAAAACTGAGAGGCAAATCAATAGCTGCCCCTGAACCTGTAAACACACCGTGAGAAAAGGAATTAGGCTCGTAAAAAATGTTGGCTGGCTGTATTGTGCCAGGAGAGAAATGCCTAAAAGAAAAATAAAGGCAGGGAGGAAGTGGTCTGAGAAGGCATAAGAGGGAGACCAGAGGTGCAGTGGTGGGAAGTGCAAAAGAGCTTAAGGTTGGACTAAGAGAAATGAGGTAGGAAGAAGATTTCCAAGCCAAGAAGAGGGGATGGAAGAGGTGAAAAGGAGCCAGCAATACTAATTAGGTAATAAAAAGCCAAGATACATGAGCTAGTTTACTCCTCTCCCTCGAGGTTTTGATGTGACTGTGCTCTATACAGAGCAGGGCACAAAGAAGAAATAAAGGAATTCAAATCCTTCATTTCTAAACACGAGTGTCTTTTAGGCATTAGAGACTTGCAGAAATACAAGCCTTGAATATTAAAAAAAATCTGAAGTCAATAAAAGTGCTCTCTTTTATTTTTAGACAGCTGGAGTTTGTTCGATAATAACAAAGTTGTTTTCATGAAGGAGAAAACATTCATACAGTGATTAATTTGGATCCCCGGTCGCTTCTGGCCAGCCACCAGCCATTGTTCCTGAAGTCACAAAGCAATAAAATGATGAACTGCATGCTGAACAAAACTGGCAATGACTTGTGTGCAGGTGTATAGATTATTCTTTTGGATGGGGGTGGACCAGCCAAACAAATTATAGGAATGGAGAATAAGCAATGCTGAAAGATGAGACACTTTCTTTTTTTGTCTCTCAGAATAACTTTAGGGACCTGCACGGCTTCTTCTGGACGCTAGAAATAAGTAGGTGGTTAGGGTGCTGCAAACAGATGCATTTGGCTAGAAATAATTATGTAAATAAAACAATGTCAGTATAATCTAAAAAGCCCTGATGTCACAGACTTTCTTATTTATAACAGATATATATATAATTTTTTTCATACAATCATTCTGAGTTCTTCCTTTCAAACCATTGAAGGGCTCATAAATCTACTTCTTACACTCTGTGGTTAACAGGCAACCACATCTGCTTGCAACAAGCTAATCAACTTACTAATTTTGGGTTTGAATGTCACAAGCAATCTAAAAAAAAAAGCGTTGTCTCTGCATCCATGTGTGAGCATCGTCAGAGCAGTGTGAATGGAGCATGACACCATCTGTCTCCTAGTTAGACAGAAATTACACTGACTTTATGAGACGTTTGAAGCTTTGCAGATGGTTATCATTATTTCAGGGAGTTAGTTACATGCACACACAGAGATGTTTATCGTGTCACAAAGTTATCTGCTTGCACATCACTGCGTGTGAATTGCTGTGCAAATGGGTGCACGTCATCTTTAATAACTTCGTCATGCATAAAAAACAAGTTGCCAAATGATCAAATGATAACAGATCCCCCCTTTTAATACACAATAATCTTCAGACAGCAGCCGACGGTCTGATATCATCACTGAACACTGACAGCTTCGAAATTAAGCTTTAAAATAGTCATGGGTTTTTGTGAATCATTACCAGAAATAGCACTGCTGCTCTAAATGTGTATTAGAGGGAAGAATTAGGGGTTATCATCTAAATCTTCATTCAAAATAATTTTTCTTTGCTGAAAATATAGGAAGATTACAGTTTTTTTTTTTTTTTTTTTTTTGCCTTATTGAACAATGATGGTTTGGTTTAAATGATCAAGCCTAAGATGTTTATTGAAGGTGGCAAAAAATCTACTGGCATCAAAGATCAGTCGCTGACTGTTATTAAAGCAATATTTCACAGCCTTTTATATTAAAATTAAAAGCTTTTTGGATGACTTAGTAACCATTTACTGTCTTGCTTCTGTTTCATTTGAGTTTTAAAGTTAATTTTATTTTTTTACACTTTTCTTGGTTTCTACAGTTGCAACATAACCTGGACTCATGACCCAAGTTATGTGCCACAGTCACAATTTTTTTTTTCTTTTTAACTGGTTTTATTCTGGTTGTAGATCAAATCTGCATCTGGATTTTTAAGGTGATGGAAGCAAAAAAATAGTCCAAAGGCAAAAACGACATTACAACACACTTGTATCTGTGCAAGACTTCACTTTTTAATCTTTCAGCTGAAAAAAAAACTTAATCAGAGCAGATATAGAACAGTTTCAGCAAGTTCTGTGTTGATTTAGTTGCCACCATTTCCCTTTTTTTGAAAGAATCCACATCTTTCTTACTCAAATTACATTATTTAGTGTAATGTACTTTTGAAGAGGAACTAAAGGACACAGGCTGTTGTGTATACTTTGTATCATTTGAATTATTGTTTTGCAATTAATAAGAGCATCTGAACTGCAAACACAAACTTTCAAAGGTTAAGCAGAGATTGTTGCAACTTTGCTGAGCTCTATTGTTTGACTGTTTGCTTCAGTGATCCATTGTGGACCTCCCCCACATGTGCTCAGTGGAAAAGTTGAAGGGACAGATTATTCCTGGGGATCCAGTGTCAGCTACAGTTGCTTTCACGGTTATCAGATGTCCATCCCTGCTGTGTTAACCTGTGAGGGAAACGGGACTTGGACAGGAGAGGTTCCAGAGTGTTTGCGTAAGTTAGCATTCTCTATTTTATATATATTGTACAGTGCAGTCCATTGGACCTGAAGCAAAGTGTTGACTCTCACTGTTTTATTTTCCTTCAAGCTGTCTTATGTGGGGATCCTGGTTCACCTGGAGGAGGATCCAGAGAGGGAAACATCTTCTCATATGGGTCAGTTGTTAAATACTTAAGCATTCCAAATAAAACACATCCTTTTTTTCACACTATTTTCTATCGAGCCTCCTTGGGACATGCTGATCGGTACAACAAAATGAACCGATATAACCTGAATATAAACACAGCGGATCTTGTTATTTTTGTGTGATTTTGTTTTTAATTTTACTTACAGATCTGAGGTCCGGTTTTACTGCTATGCTCCCTATGTACTGGTGGGCTCTACCACCAGACTCTGTCAAGCAGATGGTGTTTGGAGTGGCCAGCAACCAACCTGCATTGGTAACTTAAAAATACAATCACAGTTCTCTTTTACAATAAGGGATGTTTTGGAAATGTATATTAGATTAAATTGATTTGTATTGGATGAATGCTAGCTTGAAAAAAATTGTAGTAAATGAGTAAAGTAAATCGGCTGTTTGACTGTAGTGTGTTGGAGGTGGGACACATCTTAAGCATGCAGGACACCGGCTCCCATTCAACTGAAACATCCTGAAACACTACACTAGTGGTTCATACAAATTAATGGATTCACTTCATCACCAGTGTTTTACATTTTTATGTTTCTGTTAGTTTGGACTGCTCACCTTCATCCTTGTGAATGTCTAATGGAAAAACCTCAAAAATCTGCAGAGAATAGTTGCTATTGTCTCTGTTATTTGCGTGCAAATTTGGTGTTGTAATCATTAAGCTTCTTTCAAACATAGTACTACATCCATAGTGTGCACAACCTTGTGATGCCTAATGTTTACCTTTTAATGTCCTTGTGTAGATCCAACCTTTAACAGTTGCCGTGATCCAGGAACTCCTGCCTATGGTATTCCAATCATGGCCCAGGGCTTTCAGGTGGGCACTTTATGACACTGATCTACAACATTATAACATTAGCTAAAAATATATGTTTTTTTTTGTTTTAAGCAGGACCAGCAATTACCCTATATATGTATTTAAAATATTAGGAAATTGTGGCCAATTTGGCTAGCTAGCATCTTAATTTTAGATTAGAGTATTTCATCAAATCTATGTATAAGCTGAGGTTAAAAGTTTATATTTGAATTTATTGAAGCGGTTGGAAACTTTAGGAAGCTAAAATGGGTAAAATAATTTTGGTTAAGTTCATGAACTTAAATTTATTCTAACTCTTTCTGTAAAATCTAAAGACTGCTAAATGGTTTAGGAACATTCATTGCAAGTATGAAAGTCCTTATTATCATTGGGTTTTAGTTTTTTAGAACACTATATCGCTTCTAAGTAAACTTGATAAATGTTACCTAATTTAGTGATACAGATATGAAAACTTTTTTTAAATTTTTAAAAATGTATTAAAAACTTTTACTTTGATGGTACCTTTTTATCAATAATATGTCTTATTATTTGTTTATGATCATTATCCTGTTGGAACACCCAGCAGTCCTCTTTCTGGATTCAATGGTTTACTTTGTGTAATTCAATGTAGTTCTTGAAGTTGAAGCCATACACCCGACAGCATGATGCTGCCTCCACCATGCTTGACAGTTTATTTTAGGGGTGTAAATAATAATCGTTTTGTATCGATGCATCGATCCAAAAGCCGACGATCCGATGCATCGACACGTCCGCAAGATAATCGATTCATGTTTTTTTTTCCTCCTGTCTATTTTTATCCATTTGCTCCTGGGCGTAATTCTCCCTCCCGTGCTGCGGTGCCGCTAAACCTATTTTGCCCTCCTACCGTGCTTCCTGGTTATACTCTTACAGCAGTGTGTTGCAGCAAGCTTCACACAGACATTTTTAAATTATGCTCAATATTGAAGCGTGGTCTGAGCTACACACTGTGGGTCTAGATACGGCCGAGGCGGTGAGGAAGTGGGCACAAGTTTAGTCCGACGACGGAGGGACATGAGGGCCAAAGAGAGCGGAGATCCAGCTGGAAAAAGGGTCCAAGCGGTCTCGCGCACCTCGCTCTTCTAGCGGGTCAAACTTCACGAGTTGTTTTCCGCAATTTCGGTCATAAAAACAAATCAAGCCGGCCTCCTGTCTGCTGCACTGTTTGCGGTCAGCTACAATCTGGGAGAGGTGCAGCGGAGCGTCTCTCAAGGGGCGGTGACGTCGTCACTTCTTCTTCTTTTTTTTTTTTTTTTTATGGCGGTTGGTAAACAACTTATAGGTGCATTACCGCCACCTTCCAGAATGGAGTATGGACCAGACAAACTATTATATTCTCCCTAAAATACCCGTTCTTCTTAGAAAATTAAAAATACTACCAAAAACTACATCCCCAGATGACCTTTGAAACAATTCCCTTATATCTAGTTTATTTTTATTCTTGTCTAACTCTCTACGCAACATCTCTCTTTCCTGAGTATATTTATTACATTCTAAAAAAATATGTTGGACAGTTTCTCTGGAGCTGAGGTATTGCATTGAACTCATTACACTGATATTGTGCAGTATTTTTGCAGTATTTTTTTATGCAACTTTTCTACTTCTGTTATTTGCTGTTGTTTCTAAAGAAAATGCATAATGATATTACAGCTTTCATTGATTTATTTCAAACTTGAAACTTTGTTTAGCCTGTAAGGTGTAAAAAAAAAAAAAAAATTAACCAATTAATCGATTAATGGAATCGTGGTGTATTCTTGAGTATCGAAAATAATCGAATTGTTGGGTCAGGAAATCGATACTGAATCGAATCGCCATGATGGATGTGATTTACACCCCTAGTTTATTTAGTATCCTTTGGTTTGAAAACCGCATTGCCCACATTAAGTCAGGTCTGTTCCTGGTGCATGTTACACTCAAACAGGGCTACCCTTTGTCCTGTCCGTGACCTTTATGGACAGGATTTGTAGGCACAACTAAGGGATGTTTTTCGGGAACCAGTTGATGTCATACCTGCTTTTAGGAGATGTCATGGGTTTGCGGGCTCCCTCCTCCACTTCATGCATTGGTTGGGATAAGAATCAGCTCCTCCATGTCTGAGGCCATGGTTCTTGACAGGAAAAAGGTGAGGTGTCCCCTTCAGGTTGGAGGAGAGTTCCTGCCTCAAGTTAAGGACTTTAAGTATCTTTGAGGTCTTGTTCAGGAGTAAAGAGATAATAGAGGGAAAGGAGCTATAATGTTGACACTGGAACGGTCTGTTAAGGTGAAAAAATAGCTGAAAGAAAAGGCAAAATACTTGATTTACCTGTTGGTCTACGTTCCTACCCTCACCTCTCCCTTACAAATAGGGTCAGAAGCTTTGTCATTTAGGAGAGGCTTGAAGTAGAGACACTTGTCTGCCACAGCAAGAATAGTAAGCTGAGACTTAGGTGACTGGGACATCTTTTTTGGATGCCTCCTTTGGGAGATGTTCCACGCACGTCCAACCCAGGACATGACAAAGGGACTATGTCTCTCAGCTGGCCTGGGAGCACCTCAGGTCTCCCCAGAGGACAAGGAAAGTCTAGAAATCTCTCCTGAGACTGCTACTCCTGCAACCAGGTCATATATTAGCAGAAGACAATGAGTATGAGTCTAAAAACCTCACCTGCAAACATATACATGTAGCTCAACAACGAGGCCAAAAGATTTTATGTTTATATATTCTGGCACTAAAACTTATTTCCAAGTGCATTTTGACTTGTCCATGTAGGCAATGAAAATTCTAGTAGAGCTTGAATGATCTATTCTTAAAATATCAAAATAGTTATGTCATCATTATGTCAAGATTGAAAAGGAGCATTATCTGACGTGCACTTTACCGTATGCTAAGTTTAACTTTTCTTTTTGTGCAGTTCAAACATTTTAAAATATTAAAAAGCCAGTACAAATCAATATACAACTGGCAGTGACTCTGCTGGTGTTTGTTGTGGACCAGCCGGGTTAACAGATGGCTGTCAGAGACTTTAATCATGACTCTGAGGATAACTGGGATGATGTGAGGATGGGAAGTAGGGGAGCATCTGACAATCGGAAAAGATGAATTGTATATTTGCAATATTTTTTGATAAAGGGAATTAGACCTTGATTGGTTCTGAATGTCTGACCTGAAATATCAGTTAGCAGTTGAAACAACCCAGTTGAAGCTGAGTTGACTATGACAGCATGAAAAATGCAAGAACAGCACACACTAAAATGAAGGTGGCGCTGTCCATAAATAAACCCAATGAAAATCTTTAGATAATACAATAATAGAAGTACTGTGATATGGGTGTTAATGTGAATAACTCAAATATAGAAATCTAAATTACAGAGAGATTATTAAAATACAAAGAAAATAAGATTTTCAGTCTTCTTTAAGGTCAGTGTAGTTCTGGCTGCTAGTTGATGATGTCTAAAGTAAAATAGAGGGAATCATGTTTATGATATCTGTGATCAAATTTAAGATGATCCTTTATAGATTCATAATGAATGACAGAATTCTTTGTATTAAGTCCACAAACAAAATCAAAAGTCTTGTTTACAAAGTTATAGTATTTAATTTGTATACTTGCAAAGGCTGAGTGGGAAAACTGAAGGTTTTATGCATCCCCACAAACATTATGCCTCTTTATTATATTTCATTAATACATAGGTGGGCAGTAAAATTTCTTTCAAATGCCGCAAAAACTACCATATCCTTGGCTCAACAACGAGAACATGCCTGGAAAATCTGACTTGGAGTGGAACTCAACCTGAATGCATGGGTAAGGATTTACAATGTAAAAATTGTTCATATAATGCTGTTAAATTTTTACATGTCTGTTCAGTTGTAAAATTTTTGAGTTTCACATGTTTTTACTCCTTTTCACTCAGCTCATTCATGTCGACAGCCAGAAACTCCCAGTAACGTCGATGTTCGAGCTATGGACCTGCCAACTTTGGGTTATACACTGATATACACCTGTCAAGAAGGTTTTTATCTGTCTGGAGGATCAGAGCACAGAACCTGCAAAAGTGATGGGAGATGGACGGGGAAACCACCGCTCTGTAAAGGTATTTAAAATCTGTCTTGTAAATGTTTTTCACATAAATTGTACTGATTCCATGCTTTATATCAGATAAGTAGTTGGCGTCAAGAGATGCATCTACAATCTGAAAGAATTATAAAAATAACTGAAGCATCTTAATAAGGCCTTAAAGTTAATTGTAATAATGGGAAAGAAAATATTTGGTGTTTCAAAATGTTATGGAAGACAATAACAGTGTTTTTGTTTTTTGGAGGAATTTTAGCCTAATGAAAAGAATGTGCATGCAATCATAAGGCTTATTTTGAAAAAAAAATCACTGCTTCAATGAAATGTGACACGAAGGGGATCAGCCCAGTGCACTGATAAGATGTGAAGGATCCCAGGTTACTTCCATAGTGGCTACAGCTCATCTGCATTGATAGTTCTGGTGTCGTTCATCTATCTCCTGAAAATACTACATAGAATCTCCCATGAGTGCCTCTGTGTTTGGGCAGGTGCCAGGTACTATTGAAAAATCAAATCAGAATCTTCCTATATCTTGTTAACAGAGGGAAGGATGAAGAGCGGTAACATTTCCTGCTAGATAGCTGAGCCTATTTTGAGAAAACACAGAGGTCTAACAACAGCAGATGACATGGCAATCTAATTATCCTGGACAATGGAACTTTCACTTTGGACCTTAAACATTTTGGATTTTGTGCCTCACAACACTTCCTATGGCCTTTGGAAATTGATTTTAAAATTAGGTATAAACTTTACTTTTAACCTAAAAAAGAAGCCTTTATACCATTGGAAAAAAGCCCAGGCTGCTATTGAAGCACTAATTCTAGCTGCCTTTAACACCCTGCAATTGTCCTCCAGACTTTTAAATAAGGGCTGTAGCTGTCCATTTTGCTCGTTCCCCCTTTTTAACAACTTGTTTTCCTTTCTCTTATCAATTGGCTAGTATTTCTAGTTAGCTATAATCATCAAAAGTAGCTGTAATTAACATCTTTTTTAGAGAAATCGGTGTGTGTTGGATCTATAGAGAATTACTCTAACAAATGAACCTAAATTTCAAGTTACTGATATGCACCTCTGCCAGATCCTTTAAATGTTATTCAGTTTATTCCTATTATTTATTTATTTATATTGCACCAAATTACAAGTCATGTCATCATTTTGGACTTTAGAGAGACATTTCCATTGAATCATATCTAAGGAAACCCATTTGATTGAATTGAGTTACCGTATTGGCTTTCCAGGATGTATTACTCCTGGAAAAGTTGTGGCAACAGTAAATTTCCCTTCTAATACAATCCCTCACACCGTCCATGCATGCAGTGACAGTGAAGAGGAAAAAAACCCTTTTCACATGACGAAACCTCCAGAAGAACCAGGCTTAGTGTAAGCAGCCTTCTGTAGAAGATTTAAGGAGACAGAAGCAGACATATAAAAGGAAATTGGAAACATTGATCCATAAAAACATAGTTATTCGAAGTCAACACTAAGTCAAGCACTGAGCAACAGGTCCAACTATTAACTCTACAATCAAAGGTGTTGATGGAAGCAGCCCAGCTGATGTTCCCCTCAAGGAGGATGTCATATTCAAGCAGCACAAGGACAAATGACGCCACTATGAATAGAAAAAGCTGAGAATATACCGATGCAGGCATGAAAAATGTCCCCTTTCTGGTATCAGCCAAAGACCAGTCAGTTACTGATCACTTGTGTGCTACTTCCACAGCAGGGAGACACACACCCCAAAATTGCGCACGTGGCATTAAACTAGCTCAAAGTTAATGGCTAATGAGCAAGCTGGGCTTTTTTATTTGCAGGGTTAAATGTTTAACCCAGTTGTAGTGCAGACATACCACAGTCCTAGTGCACTATGTGTAACTATAAAGTTATATGTTGAACTAACAAATAATGCAGATTTGGAAAATAGAAGTAGAATGAAGTAAAATGATTAAAGTTGTCAATATTGTGTGTTTTATTCCATATTATGAGACACAATATCAAGTGAAGTTTATTTATTTTTATTGGTTTTGTCCATTACTTTTCATGTACTTTAGACAGTACAGTATCTCAAAAAACTGTACACTGAACTTACATTTAAAATCTCTTTTTTTATTTCAGTTGGAGTGAAAGTAAATCCCAAAGGAAGAGGGGAGTCAGATGTACAGAAGAATAAGATCCGTGGTATGCAGAATAAAAAACATTACATGTATAGTGGACTACAAAGCGCACATATACATACTATTTAAAGGTGTTTCACTTTAAGTGCAGAGGTTTGTTGTTGTTTCGTTTTGCATGTTTATGTATTGAATTAATTTAATATTTTCACATATTAATGGTTGTTTAAATTCCTTTCCATAGAAAATTAACAATTTAGCAATGAATTTTGCTGATATTAGATACTGCTCGGTCAAAGCAGTCCTCACTAAACATATCTGCAAAGATTCAATGGCTCAGTAAAGCCTAAATAAATCAGCTAAAAACATTAAACTGAGATACCATGAAGCATATTTCAAGCTAAAGGGATGATTTTGAAGCCAATCTGAAGTCAACCAGTTAGAAGAAGCCAGCAGTAAGAGACACACACCAGAGGAAAAAACCCTGATGTTAGATTCTTCAAAGAACACTGCAAAATCTGAGTTTGAAGTTAATAATGTCTTGGAGTAAATGTGGGAATCAGGCAAGCAGGGACTGGCCCCTCAACTGTGAGGGAACCAGAGGCTCAATATATGTGTTGGCATCTTTTAGGAGCTGTCAAAATTTATTTCATCTGTTTTTCTTTAACTTGTGTTACTTTTCCATTCATTTCCTTCCCAGTTCCAGCTGATGTCTTCTCCCCAAACTCTGAGTGGACCGGTTTCTACGAGTATTTAGGGAAAAGGCAGACCACCACATTCGCAGTTACTGGGTTTAATACAACTAGTGGCCGAGTGAACGTCACATTACTGGAGACCAGTGGAGTTTCAATCCGACTATCGGGTAAAAACCAAAATAATTTCAGAAAGCTCTTTAGATATTATTAGGTCTACTTTTTCTCATAAAAATCTTGATGAGGGTACAGTAATTATTATTGATTTATAATGAATATGTTTTAAATCAGGATTAAAAACCTATAAGACATACAAGAGCAAAAAATAAATTACTATTTTTGGTGTTGTACTAAGGTTTTGAGTCATTCCACATTTTTGTGTGACTTGCTTCCAAGAAGCCAGACTCACTTCTAAATTTTCAAGTCTTTTGCTTCCTGAAGACAATTTTCTGTGTTTTTCTTGTGTTTTACTTTTTTAAAACTCATCTCTACTGCTTCTAAACATTTTCTGATTTTTGATTTGTCTGTTAAGATACCTTGCTCTGAACAAAAAATCATTCAAACACTGTAAACCTAAAGCCCAGGTCAAAGGGATTGCCTCCAACGTTTTAGTCTATGATCCAATTTTTTTCCATGTCACACTGACTGGTTATAGAGATGCCCCAACTATTCAGCGTGAGCAGATCCCGATCTATGCAGTTTTTTTTCCCTTCAGTATTTTTGCCCCACAAACTGAAACAATATCCCACATTTGACTGATTAGGAAAAGTTATTGGGAAAATAAATAAAAGAAAACTGTTCTGCTACAAAGCAAAACCCCACTTCATGGGATTTTTGACCTCTTGCTGAAGTATGGATAAATAAAATGCGTTTGCTCGAAGATAAGGCTAGTTTTACAGTACTGAGGAAAACTATTTAGTTATCTTCAAAAAGACTTATTTTCTTAATTTTTACAAATCAACATGTAACATTAACTGAAACAAAGTCCAGTGGATTGTTTAACTTTTTTGGAATGTCTATGAAGTGGATGACTGAGAATCTTCACCAACATTAACTGAAAGGAAAGAAAATCAAGAGAAAGCTATCTATTTAGATATTATTTACAATTCAAGGTCTACAAATGTAGGAATTTAAGGAGATGTTTATATAATAATTTTGTTGCATGCCTCCTGTCATTGTGACAATCAGAAGCTTTTGTGGTTGCACTGTATTTACGCAAAGACATGTAGCTGAAGGCTAAATGTCATGTTTTCCTCTCATATTGTGCTATATGCTTTGAGGGGAAAAGAGAATCATCGTTCAAAATGTCAAGGTGGCTCCTTTTCTCTGTCTCTCACCAACTGTCTCTTGTTAGAGTACTATGACAGGTTTCAATGCAAATAAGAAAATAATGAGTTAATTGTTTATAAAAGATTTAGAGTCTATCAGCCTAACTAGCATATCAATCTGAATCTCAATGTGTCTCTTTCTAGGTACCTATAAGTCAGAGGAAAACCAGCTGCTGTTGAAGGTATACCAGGTGAAGGGGCCAACAGAGTATTACTACAGCAAGTTTAAAAACGACAACTGGGCAATGGATGGATATGTAAGCAAATGCTTCTTTATTCACAGAAAAGTATCTGACTTTAATCTATAATAATTGTGTTAGTAAAAGTAAAAGTTTAATTAGAAGGTTACAGTAGTTCTTATCTTTGCTTTTGAGGCAATAAAACAAAATTACACTTCTTTTGTATGAGGTGTTAGGCTTTCAATAAGTGTAAGCGACAGTGAGAAATAATTCCTCAAATATGCTAAATGTCTTTTAATAGTTTTACCTTGTTGTTTGCTGAAAAAGAGAGTGAACATTATAAATCTAAAATGAAAGTCATGACTTTAGAGGCTGGCTCTCTTTTGCTGCCCCGTATTTTTTTAACAAGCTCACATGCCTTGTCTTTTCGCTAGGCAGCATTCACTACAGTGCTCAGCTTGTGCTTAGATGGTTCATCCTTAAAGGGGTCATATAAGGATTATATAGGGTATTTGGTGCTGGTCCTTAAGGTCTCTGAATAGGGTGTGTAACATTGATTTGGCTGAAATTGGCGTATCTGCTGTTCTATGAGCCCTAATGCAAGCCTGGTTTAAAGCCGTAGAATGAAACGAAATGTTTTCTTCCTGTTATGGTTTGCTCATGAATATTTAGATGAGCTGTGCACTGATTGGTTGGTTTACAACAAGCGAAGCTGCTGAGCAAAGATGCATCATAGCAACAAGCACACCCTAACTGAAACATAGAAATTATTGATATGGTAGGGTGACCAGATGTCCTCTTTTTCCCGGACATATCCTGCTTTTCATACCTAAAAATATCCGGGTGGAATTTCAAAATCATCTAATATTTTGGTAGACAAAAGTGCAACACGTAGGTGAAACACACTGGGCATTCGAACAAAGCCTTCAGCTCAGGGGCGGGTCCGGCAACCCTGGCGGAAGAGTGTAGGGAGCCAGCGGGAAACAGGGCAACCAAACTGGGCCCGGTGACTGTAGCCTGGACACCGGTGGTCCTGTCCTCCCCCCGTCTCCCCAGCCCCCCTCCTCCAGCTGAGGACGGGTGGCTTATGGCTCTCTGCTGAGGTCCGGTCCAGTCAGCAGGCCAGCAGTCAACACTTCATAACCGCCACCTCGGGGCGAGACAAAAGAGCAGGCCACAACCAAATAAGGCAACATCCCCCAGTTTACATCAACTTGGGGCTTCGTTTGAATTTACCTGTTTTTAGAATTGTGAGATTTGCAGAGAAAGGAGGTGTCGATTGGGTTTGAACTTCTCTGTACATCCATTTCACCCACTGAACTATGATTATTCATCTATGACAATGTAAACTTGGTTTTGCATTCCCTGACCCCTTTAAGGTCAACCTTCATCTTTGTGGGTTTTAGGTTCTAAATGTGTTGGCACATTTAATTTTGATTTTGTTTCTTTTACAGTTTTTGAAATAATATATTGGATCCGATTCCTCTTGTTCTCCTGAGTCCACCTTTAATGATTCTGTTATCAGCTACTGAGAGTCTGCATGGTTACAAAGAATAAAAAACAAATTAACCTTTACGCTATTCATTATAGTTAGCTGATTTAAGAAAAAAACACATTCCACTACAGCTCAAATATCCTAGATCTGAACTCTACTGTGTTTGGACACCTTGCTCAGCTGCATCTAAGAACAGCTTATTCCCATATTATTCCCCTATTTTACCCATAGTGCCACCTGCAAGAGAGTTTAAGGCTTAGTTGATAATGAAATTGTACCTTTAAATCGAATGTCTCTGCTCTTAAAGAACTTCAGTTCAGACATCCATTTCACACCGCAGACTATAAAAATGATGGACAAAGCTATTAATTGTCAAGATGTGAGGTTGATACCAAACATAAAAGTGCAATTGCACTGCCAGCTAAAAGGCATTTGCTTCAAATATCATCAGCTCTTTATTAAAGCACCATGATTACTACATCCTAACAATCTTTTTTTTACGCCTTGGCGTCAAAGAAACTCACATTTAAAAGCATTTACGGCTGATAGACAAAGGCAACAAGTTATATCATATATATTCCCAACCAATCTGAGTAATCTTTATAATCTAATAAGCTATAAATGGATCTTAATGGTAGGCCTATTGGACCAGTTCAAAGCTCCATATATATATATAAATATATATATATAGATATATACTATGTATATATGTATGTATGTATGTTTGTGTATGTATGTATATATGTATTTATATATATATATATATATATATATATATATATATATATATATATATATATATATATATATATATATATATATATATATATATATATATATATATATATATATATATATATGTATATGTGTATATATGTATGTGCATATGTGTGTATATGTATATATGTGTATGTCTATATATATATATATATATATATATATATATATATATATATATATATATATATATATATATATATATATGTGTATATATATAAAGAGATTTGAACAATAACAAAAAGTAAATGTGATTTTATCCTATAAAGACAATATGTTGCTTTTATTGATGAAATGTCATCAGTGAGCAGTATTACACCTTTTTCTGATGGAAAAAAATTGGGGGGGATTCTGAATTCTCACTTTACCGGTTGCTGTGGAGTTAGTAATTGCCTTTCTGTCATAGAGGCAGCAGTTAATGATTGAGTTTACCTTCTTGTCACCATGAGTGGCCCAGACATGCAGCCAAGATTTCCAGGAACCTAATCTTCTCACCAAGCAATTGTTCAAGCATGTAACTCTCTGCAGGCCTCAAACCTGGGCTCAGTTATTATCTAGCTATTGTAATACGGAACTTTGTGCCTTGGTAATTTTTTGTGGCTTGCATAGTTTCTAATATCTTTATTTATTTTTTTGGATGTAATCACTCATTCTAATTAACTATTAATTTATGTGGTAAGAATGGAAGAAAAACAGAAGGTTGTCAGGTTTTGGATGATTTTTAAGCTGGGTAAAATGCTTTAGAGTCCCTCCAAGAAGCGTTGGTAGTGGATGCAAAGAGAGAAAAGTTAGTTAAAAGCATGCAATAAAATACACTTTTTAGAAAACAGCTATTTTGTATCTAAATCACTAAGGCATTTGTTATCTTTTTACATCACCATTTATAAATTGATTATATAAATGCAGGACTCATAAGTTAGATCTCTCTTTTTTCCTAAATTTAACTCAAGCTTTAGATAGCTGAAGTTATGTAAATTTGTCCAGAGACATAAGGAAAAGGATTTTTTCCCCCTTTGTTCCTCAGATTGTAGCACACATTGTGACTATTTGGTCGGTTTTCTTTTTAACCCAACACTAAGTTACTTTTCAACCTCCATAAAATATTTTTTATAACTTTTTTGATTATACGATATGTCGACATAAAACTGATTAAATGACACCTCTGTCATATCCTGAGGGGGTGGCAGTAACCCTACCATGCAACCCCAAAACAAATGTGCAGACTGCTTTACGGCATACGTCACTTTCCCCATTCATTATTTAATAAGGATACATTTCCCTGAGAGACTGTATATTCATGCAAATTGTGAAGGGTTGATTTTCTGGCCATGTGACAGCTTCATGCTGGGATCTATATGTATGTTTGCTGTGAAGTTATCAAACGTAACATTATATTTAAGATTTTTAAAGGTTTAAACTCAGCACATCAGTTGCTGATGAGTCAAGTGAGGTGGGGGAGATCAGGATTTTACCACGCTATGCGCTGGTCCTCGTGGGAAATGCTGTCTTCCTTCAGGCAAAAACAACACAGCTTATGTCTACTGTGTGGGGCAGTTCTTTAGAACTGCTTAAAATGTAATGACCTCGGTTAAATGTTTTGGATTTCCGCCAAAACATTTCTGAGTAAATTTGCTAGAAGTTTGGCCCATTATTTGACTTTGTGAGTAATGTCTTATGTTGGTACCGGGCACTTTTATATGTAGACTTTCCTGCCAGGTTCAGCCAGTTTCTTCAGAATTTCATTTGTGTTGTTCTGAGCTCAATTTATACATTTAACACCAAAACATGAAGGTATTGGGGACACAGAATGTATTTCTTTCTAGAGAAGTATGATGGTTGGATATCACCAAAAAAACTGTTCATATATAAAAAAAAGGGAAACAAAAAAGCCTGTATTTGTTGCGTTTTTTGTTTGTTTTTTTTTACTGATCTTCATACAATCTTAACCCTCTTGTTCTTTTTAGGTCACTGCAGAGTCTGACCAGAAGACCTTCATCTACCAGGGACATATTCACAGTAAAGATTTTGGCAAGTTCTCTCTGACGAGGCAAGGTGAGTGTGCTTTGCAGTACTGACACTCTCTATTTCAAATGCCATGGAATTAAGTAAAGAGTTAAAACAGTATAATTAAAACTTCCTAGTTTGTAATAAATTGAGTGAAAAACTAATCATAAAACAATAAAAGGTTGATTACAATGAAAACTAATGTAAAGCACTTGTTGTATCAAGCGTTTAGGTTTATGTTTATGTTGGTTTGTTTCTATGTGACTTTAGGTCCAGTTACAACAGCGATGAATCCATCAAACCATTACACAAACAGTAGTTCTGTGGCAGCAGCCATTTTAGTTCCCTTCTTTGCCCTCCTCCTCTCTGGGTTTGCCTTCTACCTCTACAAGCACAGGTAAGCTATTCTCTCAATGTTAATCCTTCAGAGAAAAACACAAGTAAAAAAAAAAACATAATAGCAGTCCAGCATCAGAGCAGAATACAAAGCAGCTGTTTGTCCTCTATTTCTGTAAACACCTAGCAAAAGGTGCCTGCTGGAATTCCTCTCTATGTTTCTGTTAAATCCTTCTAGTTTGCAATGGACTTATTTCTTTGGTTCAATCAGATTAATATTACAGCTAAACTTTGCTTTTTCTCTTTAGACCTTATTTTTGTTGCTCTTCTATCATTCTATAATTTATGGAAGCTGACTATTTTTAAACATAGCTCTAAAGCTCAAAGCAGAAAACATTTAAACAAAGACTGAGACTGGGTTTAATTTTGGAATTTAGTAACTAATTGTTTTTGGGGTTTCTTCTAAAGTCCCTAGTATGGTTAAAAAGCAAGGTGCTTTTTTATTGACATTTGTCTGATCTAAAATACATATACATTTTTTTAAACATTAAGTGAATGTATTAAAGAAGATAATCTTTATTGGAGAAGCTGCACAGTTCAGGTGCACTAATGATTTGAGTGAAGCAGACTCTCGTCCCCTAAACATCAACAACATAAAGGTGCATATTCATATATCAGCATAGATTTTAACTTAATTAATTTAAACATTGAACATCAAAAATTGATTCATTACAGTTATTTTATTTCAGGCAGTTTTGATGTGTTTGGCCTCTAACTCTAAGATTTGAATTGTACATAAAACCACTTAAACAGGAATTTTGTTTTAAAAACCTCTGGCCTGCTGAAGTAAATACATAAAATCTGAATTGGACATATCCTAGTAATATCTTAGAAAAAGATGTAGCAATGAATGTGAAATCTATGTCTCAACTTCTTGCTTTGGTCATCTGAAATGATCTCCATCTCCTGTTTATGCCTTTAAATCTTTTAGCTGTGCAGTTGCACAAACCACATGACATTAATAAAGTCATCCAGGTCTGCTTTCAATCATATAATTTAGCTGATGGGGTAAGATGACATCTACCCCCATTTCCCTATTGGTTATTCTGCAAAACACATTGCTGTGTTTGATTTCGGCGGCTGCGTCTAAGAATGCAACCTATCTGAACTTGGTCCTTTAAAGGTTTTGAAAATAAGGAGGGAGAAGAGTTCAGCTATAGAATCGAACAGGTCGAGCCTTCCGAAACTGTCATTTTCCCTTACTCAGCGTAAGCTCTGACGCCTAGCAACCATGACAGACAGACTCACAAAGCAGGCAAAGAATAGATGCCGAACTACTATTTTGTGTGCTACTTGCATTTTTAAGGAGTTTCAGCGGCAGTATTATTGTCACAGGTATCAGGTTTATAGTCCCCAAACTGCAGATATATTGGAATCTGTACTTAAATGTCAGCCAGACTCATTTGCACAGGGACAGATAAAGCCTTTCAATAAACCAAAATTACCCTCAACATATCTGACTGACCAACCATTTAAATTAACTATTTTCATTAATGTATAACAGAATTATTCAAATACTTTTATTATATTAAGCTGCACTAGCAATATTCAACACTGTTTGGCGCCATTTCCCTTTTTCGTCTGAGCATGGAGCAGCCGGCTTATTTTGACTCCCATTGAATCACTAGATACCATGGGAATACCCTAAACATACACTGGACCTGTTATTCCAAAAGAAGGCTGCTAATGTCTGCAATATACGGCGTGCTAGCACCTAAGTTGATGACAAATCTGGCCTTCAGAGGGAGCAGCCACTGAATTCAAACACAGAAATATACGCCTCACTATTGCCTTACTCCCACCTTGATGTGTTTTGTGAAAATGGCTTTTGACTCCAGTTGATGGCGAGGCTTTTCCTCACTGTTCTCTGAATGGTGTGATTAAACTTCTTTATTTCCTACACCTTTTCATTCCACTCAACTATTTACTAAATGCAAGGATGCAGCACTCTGAGTCTACAGCATGTTTAGCAATGTAGTTTTATCACCGTTTTGTGGGTAGTGCCTATTGTCTGCTGGGCAAAACAGTCTTATCACTTATGTTTTTAAGCATAAGTTTTATTTGTTTGAAGTAATATCGTTATTATAAAGGTAATTTTATTTAAAAAGATTACAAATAATGTAATCTTTGAGGATATAATATGTTGAGATACACCTGTATTTTTAGTTGAAACTAGGAAGTCCTTGCTTTTTAAAGCCTTTGCAAGTTGCAGAATGTAGTTCAAATTGATGTATATTAAAGCTGATGGTTGTATGCAGGACATTGTCTGCTGACACAGATGACAATGAGAGACCAAAAAACACCTGGGGACCTGGCGGCAGGTAAGACTGACACCTGTCATCCATCTGGTTTCTAACAGCAACCAGACCCCCGCCCGCCGCCACATCCTCTCAAATTTCCCATTTCTTCTTCTTAGTTTGCAAACTGTTTTACATGCTGTTAAGTAGGGCTGCACAATTAAACCATAAGAAAAAAATATGAAAGTAAAAAAAAAAAGTATATAAATGTATGGTAAAGCTAAGACAGAATGTTGGGACTCCATGCATCAGCAATTGGGGTAATGTTTTCACTAAGAAAGAAAAAATAAATTAAGAGCAAATAGTTTCCACTTTTTGAAGCTGTGCAGCCCCACTGTCTCCAAAAAGCAAAGCTTTATAATTTGCATTTTATTTTGTCTTTGGTCTCATTGTCATCTCTGTCTCAGCATGATATCATCAAATTATATCCTCAAATTGTAAGTAAATTAAGTTACGCTAATGCTTTGATACGCACATGCTTGCCCATACAATATTTAGCCTTGCTTTTCATCATAGTTGAAACTTTTCTGGCATGCTTTTAGCATTTACCCTGCTACAATGGAAAGCAGAAAAAATGATGAATACTTCACATGTGGATCTAAAGTATTTGCTTAATGAGGAACCAGGGGGGTCTTTATGTGCGTTTGAGTGTGTACTGCAGTTTTTCCTGCTATGACCCATTTGTCTATATAGTATCTGTAATAATGTTACAGCAATTAAGTGCACCATTTTTCATTCTCCTGATGAAATAAAACTTTTGCACCTACAGCCATGACTGGTGCAGTGATTTAGGCTACTGCTATGCAGGGAGGTCCATGCTATGTGTTGATGTGTGCAGTTTTGTAAAATAATGGCTTGGACATGTAGGGTAGGCTTAGTGCCTCCCCAGGGTTGGATTTCCACACCCACACACACACACACACACACACACATACACGCACTCTTAATGAGGTCAGAATCAAACAGCAGCAGCATTCCTTGCTGCAAACAGTTCCACAGGGTGTAGAAGTAAGTGATTAAATCTAACTGGATTATAGGAACTGATTATCTCAAAATGTAATCTGCAACAAACAGACAAATTCAATTCAATTCAATTCAGTTTATTTATATAGCGCCAAATTCACAACACATGTCATCTCAAGGCACTTTACAGTTCAACCAGATCAAATTGATACAAAGTTTTCTATCTAAGGAAAACCAGTTGATTGCATTGACTCATTGACTCAAATACAATCCCCCACACTAAGCATGCTTGTAGCGACAGTGGAGAGGAAAAACTCCCTTTTAACAGGAAGAAACCTCCAGCAGAACCAGGCTCAGTGTGAGCGGCCATCTGCCGAGGCCGACTGGGGTTCAAGGAGACAGAAGCAGAGATACAAAAAGCAGCTGTAAAAGGCGGCCCCGTCCAGGAAACACACAGCCAGGCAGACGAGCTCCAAGGCAGCTCCCATGCCAGAGGACGAAGAAAGCACATCCACTCAGTCACGGTCAGAGAAACAGGACCACACTGGAAAACAGACAAATAAGGAATGTGTGCTTCTCTGTCTCATAGGTTCAATAAGACCTCTGTATAAAATCTGTTTAAAAAAAAAATCCTATTAAGGCTTACTGATCGTTAACGAAAACATGTACACTAGATATGGTTTACAGTGTTGCTGCTTCAACAATATTGTACCTGTAACTTTCTCATAATAAAGTTTTACAGTTATTTAAAGTCAGGTAATTAAAAAAATGAATATGGAATAAATTCAGCACAGCATTTCTGATATTGCTAGATTTAGTTTCATGCGACAAAGCTAGAAGTTATACCTTTAAACCTTTGTCCTCATTTATGACTGGCTAAGGAGCTTTGCACTGCCTAGTTATACCTGAACTAATGAATCTTCCTGAAAAATCCTGTGAAATTAAAGGATCTATAGAGAGCATGCTGTGCAAATCAAGGCAGTAGAGCATGAAACATTTAAGCATCCCTTGCTAATGTGATCAGATGACTTAAACGTGACCTGGTTTCTCATGTTACAGGTGATATATATGTTTTGCAATTCCATTGTTTACATTCTGACACTATAGATGGAAGTAAATATTGACATTATCATTACTACAATGCTGATTTTACTTCCCCAAATATAAAACATTGTCCTTTATTTTTTTTTTATCTTTTCAAAAACATTTACTTTTGTGTATACAAAGTTTATTAAGGGTGCACATGCAGTAGACATTATGTAGACATGATACATGTATGTTACATGAAGGTATAGCCATTGTTAGACCAAGCAGATGTTTCTATTATAAAAGTGGCCTATGTTTAGACTTACAAAAAATATCTTTCAAAAAATTCCAGAAAAGTCAAAATTGTTTCATGTTTACAGCTATGATATAATAGGGTTAGGGAGTCATTATTTAGGTTGGTTTAATAACCAAGCATTGAGAGAAGAAGAGGTGGATATGACAGTATATATTATGTATTCGCAAATTTAAACTACTCACATTTTGATTTAAGTTGTTGTTGAAATAATTCTAAGTCAAAAAACATAAGAATGTTTGCTGAATGGCTTAGGTTCATTATCTCATATATGTTCACTTGGTAGCCACTAAGCTGCAAACCTAGATTATAAATATTACAGAAAGGGTTCAAATGAGTAAATTAAGTTCTTTTACTAAAGTTCTATACTATACAGTGATTGTTTTGTTTGGGATTTTATCTTTTATACCATGATCTGGGCAAACACTTAATTTGTCTAGCTGCCGGGTGTCTTTTCAGAAGTATTACAGGACACCTATAAAGCAGCATTTAGGAAGGAGTACCGTTTAGTTCTTATGTTCCACTAAAATGAGGTAAACTCCCAGAAAACTGTAAAAGTGCTAAAAACCAAATTTTTGATTAAAAATGTATTTGTTTAGAGTGATCTTTGACTTGATCTTATTTTTATTACTATTTTTTTGTTCCCTAATTATTTGTGTTGCCTTTGTAGCACTGTAATGTACCTTTCTTTTTTTTTTCCCCCATGTTCAACACTTTGAATTGTCTTGCCATTGAAATACGCTATATAAATAAACTTGCTTTGCTATTCAAATAGCTGGCAACAGCAGACAAAAGGCACTAACAGCTATGTCCGACCAAGCTGCATGCTTTGTGGCCAGAGCCGGTTACATTGGAGACATGTCAAAACAAAAATCATTACATCGTACTCTCAGCAGCTTCTTGTGAAAACTTACAATTTTAACAGTGGAATAAAACTTTAAGCTTTTATTAATTGATGTCTGATTTATTTATTTTTTTAGTGGCCATGGTATAAACGAGATAATGCCCTTTGATGTGTCGTTTTTTTAGAAATGAATAGACGTTGGACAGTTAACACCTTCGCATTGCCTATTAATTTCTGGACAATAATGGACAACCCTTACCTAAATGCTTGTCAACTTGTTATTTAACTTATGCTTTTACACTGCATTTTTTTCTCTAAATGTTTTATATAATGTCTGCTGGCACATGAAGTACAGTTGGTAATACAATGTCATTCCAAAAAAGTAAAAGAAAAACAATCCACTGGAAGTTTGAAACAAAGTCCAGTGGATTGTTTTTCTTTTTTACTTTTTTGGAACGACTATGACGTGGATGACTGGGAATCTTCACTTGCGTAATACAATGTCATTTCTCCTTTTTTCTCAGGACCCGTCCAAAGGTCCAATTCAATGGCTACGTCGGCCATGAGAGCTCCAATGGTCAAGCTTCATTTGAAAATCCCATGTATGATACCAACATGAAGCCAACGGAGGCTAAGGCAGTTCGATTTGATACCACCCTGAACACAGTCTGCACTGTGGTGTAGTCCAACAAACCTGTCACCTCCTGTAAAGTGATCCATGGCACCACCATGTGGCAACCTGCTGAGTGGCATTACCCCCACCCAAAAAAAAGAACAAACCTAATATCTGGACTTGTCACCATGAGCAGCCTTTGTGTAATGTGCGGGTGCAGTGCCAGCATAATCTTTACAGTAATGCGGCTCTACTCCACTTCCCTACAGTATGAGGGCATTACTCAGCTCTGGTCTGAGGAAGAAAGAGAAAAGATTGCTGACACCAACAAAAAAGGCAGTTAAACATTACCTCATCAAATAATATAAAGGCTGATGTCAGTAGATTACCGCTTCAACTACAACTGTTTTAACACACTGTTGCATTTCAAGCATGTATAGAGGATATGATAGTTGAACAGCCACTCAGAGTATGTTTATTAACTTTCAACTTTTCTGAGGTTGAACTACCTTATGGAAAAGCCTCTGCAGTGAGGATCTTCTGGGTCTTTAATACTGACTCCACATGAGCAAAAGTTAATTCCAATAGAAGCCCAGTCTGCCATGCCAAATTTGCACAGTGGCAAATGCTTAAAAAGTCCCCTGCTGCAGGCCAGATATGGGTTTGACCAATGCATGGTTTTACCTCCAGGGGAAGCATATAGACAAAGTCCACCTCTCATACCCGTCCAGGCATTAGATGAATCCCATTTGTAACCTTAAATAACAACTGGTGCTGGACCAAACTCATCTGACACCATTCTGTATTTGAAAGAAGTGATTTACCAGACATAATGAAGCCTTTACAGCCTTTGTTGTGTTAGAACCTTGTGTGGGTTCCACAGATTTGCATAACTCTTTAAACCAAATGCAGTGATATGATCAACCAGACCACTTCATTTAAAGGAAATTTAATTTTAACCTGGTCGACATTTGGGGAATAAAGCAGGATAAGGTGGGAGTTTCACATACTTTTGTGAATGTTTTAACCTATTTAGAAAGTGAACGACAAGCAGGACAATCACAGAGCTAGGTACATTTAGTCGACAGATATTAAAACGGTTTCTTTAGTTATTGCCATCGTCATTACTTTAACACTTTTATGCCTTTAATTAAAACACTGTAGTACACTGCATCTGAATAGGTTAAAACATAGCAAATCAGGCCTTTCTAAACAATGTTTTCCAAAGTTTTTAAACAAAAACGAAGAATTACGCCAAGTCATATCCTTTTTCTACAAATTCAAATGTCATAAGAAGGTGATAATTAAAAATATGAGCCCTACACAGAAGGTGTAACAATAGGCAGGCAGTATTAAATCATATAAACAGTAGATTGTGTTGCCCACTGTTTGCAGACAATGGACCGGTTTCCAGAAGCTTGTAAAACAACTATCAAGCATTTTTTTTTTTGTCTTGGACTCACCACAGTTCTGTGTTTGGTGGTTTAACAAGTGGAAACCTGGAGGCAATAAGCTGTCAGGATTGTCAACTGCTGCAATCAACTGTGCCCAAATCCAGGAAATGATTTGTTCTCCTGTAACCTTGGTCCAGACCATCAGCCATGAGATGACTGATTCCTTTTCTTCACTACACTTTCCAGCCACAAAATACAAAATAAGATAAACCGATTTGCAGACAGACTGGCTGACTGACAGCAACAGGACAAATGGACACAGACAAAATCGTGCAGTTAGTCACTGCTGTCAGTCAAGCTTACTAAAGGAGACGTGGACGTGTTAGAGTGGAAATTGAGACATCAAGAATTTTCTAATTGTCTCTTCTGGCATTTTTCTTCAGTGAAGATACTGATGAACAAACTCATATGTTCAAAAAAACCAACGGCTCATTGGGACTTCCCAAATCACAGCTGCTGGAGACTCTTGAATATAAAGTTTATATGAATCGCACAAATTTTGCACTAGTGTTATTTTCTGTTGATTTTTTTTTTTTCCCTGTTTCTTTAATGTTTTTTTTTTTCAAGTTAAGGGAATGAAAAGATTTTTTGGGACAAAACTAAGTTTGATAAAGGAGTCATTCAAAAGAGAATTTTAATTCAGAAGCGTCTAACTTTAAAATATACAATATGACTAAATACAGGGTTACAGTATTTTGTAAATACACATTTTAAATCTCTTGCTCCCTATTAGCAGTTGTTTTTTTTTTTGTTGCCCTACATGCTAGCCAACCAGAGTGGTGGGAACAATTTCTGATGCTAAAACATGAGAGGAAATGTCCATTTTTTGTTTTTTCTGAAAGCTTTTACTTGCTACTATGTAATTTGTCAAAGAAACAACCAGAGAACATCACTTTCATTAAAAGATAATTTTATTAACTTGCAGTTTCTATTCGGGAAAAAGTAATTTACACAGAATAAATTAACATTTTTTTTAATTAGTGGTTGTGAGAATTAGCTTTCAGAAAGGACCCTTTCTCTAACCATCTTTAAAAGGCACGAGTCCCATTTCACCACTGTTGTTGCACATCCTTTCGACACATTACATGATGCACATTGTCTCTTTTCAGCAGCCTTTTTAAGAGCACAGAGTTTGTGATTAGTTTGAGAAAAGGTCTGCAATCTAATGAGTGCATAAGAAAGACAACATGCACATTTAGGGTTGTCAACAATTTCCCCATATTTTTTTAAAGAAATACCTCACAAACCACATGTCACATCTTTCTTTATAAATGCTGGATCATCACTGCAACAAATAAACAAGCTTAATAAGGGTAAATTTAACTATCACCACCCCTCAATTTCCTGGAATTTTAAGTCAAAATGTTGCTCTGACATCCATGTTTTTAGGAACTAAGAAAATTCCGTTTCAGACAACAAGCTTGTTATTTCTCGCAGTGTTTACTTAAAATACTTTTATATTTTTCAAAGATGCTGCACTTGGTTAAGGAAGCATATTTAACTGCTTTCAATGTATATCATTTGTTGTTTCCAGGGTCTGCTTCATGCTACACAAACAACATTCTGAGATGATTTTTACACATCTAGCATTTGGTTTAAGTCTCATGTTTTAGTATATTTTATGCTTTTTTATTTTAATATCCAAAGCACATTCACACAAAAAAAAAACATAAGGTTTCATTCATGTGTATATGGAGTAGGGAGATACAAAGAAGGGAGCTTCCAATAGATAATATCCTCTTACTCACTCATCCCCAAAGTGGGGGGGCATGGTATAATTGCAAGGGGGACATGTTAGAAATAAAATGAGTAAAGGATCCATTTTAAGATGTCTTTAAATAAAATAAATATTAATAGTGATGTCAAATTCTGTTAAGCATTTCAACAGACAGTTTAATTTAAAATAATTTCACTTTAAAAGTGGTAGTTTTATGATTTCCAGGAACTATTAGTATATTTTATTGCAATGTATAATTGCAATTTTAGATGCCCTTGGAAGATGCAAAGTGGGGGACCTATCAAGAAAAGTTTATGTAACCTCTGCTCTAATTGAACGTACATAACTTTTGTTTAGAGTTTTATTAATAGTAACTGATTTTTCTGAAGAACTCAATTACTCAAAACATCTGCATGAGAAAATTGTCAAAACTCTGTGGTTTTCAGGTTGTTTAGTAAAAAATGGCTCTGTTCCAGACCTGAGTGCTGCAAATGAGTTTGTGATTTGGAGGGAAAGATAGAAGTTATTGACGTATAAAAAACAACCATTGTTACACAAGGAAAGGCAAAAAATAAGAACAGTACTTTTCTTTCTTTGGAAAGATGGATGACACATTCAGTATCTTCATGCAGGAATAAACACATCATCTTTAAACAGTGGAACGTCTGCTCACAGTCATGAGCCACATCTCCTTTTTATTTAATTGCAAAAGAGCTTTCTGTGCTTCTCGTTATAATTGATTTGATTAATTCAGCGCAGATTTCCTATGGAGTCAAGAGTGCATAATAGAGCCTGAAAATTAGAGGCTGGTTTCCAAAACCGTATTAAAAGGTCTAGTTTTATAATTATAGACAGAGATCCGATCTCCCAGTGTGCCTGAAAGTGAAAATTTAGGGTCTTTTGTTTATTAAGGCATTTCACAACATTACTGCACTGTAGAGGTTAGATCTGACATGCCACAAAAATACAGCATAATCCAAAATGTCATTTTAGCAGACACTGAACTTCCCGCAAAACTGTCAAGTCATTATAATATTTCTATAAGGCACTTGAAGGCATGCTGAGCTCAGTGTTTTGAATGTCAGAATAAGATCTTTCATGCTATAACACTCAAGTATTTTCCTTGATAACCAGGTCTGTAGTGACAGATGTTGTGTGCCATTTGACTTCATTTTTTTATCACAATAGATTTTCCTCACAGTTCTGAAACATTCCTCTAAGGATTCTGAGCTCAGTTAATTTTAAAAGTAAGTAAACTATTTGAGAAGATAAAAAAACTCACTATTCACGTCATATTCTATAATTACATTCATTTTCTCATATCCTGAAAGTTATCATTATAATCAAAAATATGTATTTTTCACTTCTTAGCCTAATCCAACAGATAGGGAAGTGTGATAGGAAATGCAGATCAGAAAAACAGGGACCCATATAGATATTTTAGAAATAATCTGTTTGAAGAAATATAGGGCCTATTAACTTGGAGGAGGATTTCATCTTTACAAAATTCTGTTAACCATCCAAAATAAGTTACATTTTAAGTCATTATTATCAAGCCAAAAAGTTTGCTTTTAAAGTGAAGTAAGAAAAGACTCTGGGCAAGTACAATAACACCAACTACAGAGGTTATAATTTGTAGGAATTATTTTTTAATTTAATGTTTTACAAAAATAGTGAATGGATTATTATACAATTTTTTATGATTCATGAAAAATGCTTTATTTTCATTGTAGCCATTGAACGCTTTGGATTTGTGCATGTTTTCACAGGAAAAAACATTGGCTTACATATTAAGCCGTTAAAACAGTTGTTAACTTGATTTTGATCATTTAGACTCAGAAAAGACTAGTTTGCACATTTTGATTTGATTTAGACTTTAGACAGTAACACAGTGAAGGATACAACATAGTTAATAGTTCTTAACCATATTAACAAAAATATTAATGGATGCAGATATGAAGTGTGTTATGTATTGGTTTTGTTCAGCTTCAGACCACAATTATTTCTTTAAATTTTGTTGCAATTGTTTTAAAACCAAAGCTTGTTTTATCTGCCTTGAAAAATATGCATTCATGTGAATCAGATATTTTGCTATGAATTTCATTATTTTAGTTTTCCTTTAGACATCATGTAGTGCCTTGCCAAAATATTTATATCTCTTAATATTTTTCACTCTTGTCACGTTACAACCACCAACATCTTTTTTTCCATTTGGTCTTTATGTTACAGGCTAAGAAATAGCACATATTGTAAGCTTTGAAAAGAAGAATATCAATACATTGCATACACATTACAAAAAAAAAAAAAAATCATATTCATATTTTTCCCTTGGGTAAGGACTTTGCACTTTGCAGGACGATTGCACAAACTGCAATTAGTGCTGCAATTTTTTTATGGCATGCCTGTAACAGCTCCTGACATTCTCAGACTAATTTTGAAGTTCTTTTGGTTCAATGTCCATTAGAATGGATAAAAAAGTATCTTTGAAAAGCAATTTTTAACACTTTTGAAAAGCTATTTGTAAGTCCTGACGCACTTTCTCAGTGGAATTTAGGTCTACACAATGGCCATTCAAACACATGAATATGCTTTGATCAAACCATTACAGCTCTGACTGAATGTTCAGGAGCGCTGACTCTTCTGGACAATGAATCCCTCGGCTGTCCTGAAATCCTTTGCAGCATCTTAGCGTTGTCTTGCAGAATAGCCATGTACTTTTCCCCATCCAGCTTCCACCCCAAATGAACTCTGACCCTTTTCCAAGACCATTCTAAGGGTCATTTTCTTTTCAGCACATTAAGCTTTTTACTCTTAGAAAAAATGTCCTCTTGCCAAAATAAAAATGTTTCCAAATTTTCTGCAATTCTTGCATTGACAGTGAAGAACGATTAACCAGGACCTTGAGGTATTGTTTTTTTTTTTTTTTTTTTTTTTTTTTTAACATAACTCTGCTTCAAACTATTCTGCAACTTTACTCCTAATCTTTGTTTTTTTCCCTTTTAATTCTGTTTTCTACTAATTTTCTCTAAAAATAATGTTTGGTAATCTTCAAAAGGTTGTTTCTAAACACCTTTCATCTTGTTTTGGACTGTTTTCATAGTAGGGATAGTTAACAGAATAATGAATAATGTCTGAAGGCAATTGCTTGCATAAAATTTTGTTTATAATCTATGGGTGACCAGATTAAAGAGAATATATATAAATATATATATATATATATATATATATATATATATATATATATATATATATATATATATATATATATATATATATATATATATATATATATGTATATATATATATATATATGTGTGTGTATAATTTCAAAATTTTAAGTCCCCCTTGCAGCTATGCACCACTTAGATTTTTTGATTTTTAGTTTAAATTTTAAAACAACTTAAATTAAAGGGGGATGAATACTTTTGCAAGATATATGTTTGTGTGATTCCATTCCATACAGTTTGAGTTGGACAATTTTCTCATGCTTTTATTTTATAATTAAGGAAACTAAAATTAGTGAACCAATTAAATTGGTTCTTAATTTATAAGCAACCCTGTTTTTCCCAATAGTACAAAGGGGTATTTTATTGATTTGAGAAACAAAACAAAAAAAAATCTAACTTAAACTGAAGAGATTTTTCACTGAATCATTTACATGCAGAGAGTGGCTGGTGCTTTAAAAGCATACTGAAATATTATTCTTCATTGTGATGTCCCCTTTGGCACAGAGATGAGTTGAAAAATGGCATGTCCTTAACCGAAAGTTGCTTTTATCGA